CGGTGCCTCGTGCCCCGGGAGCCCACAGGGGCTGCCGCCAGACGCCCGCCCCCGGGGCGCCCCCGCCAAAGCTACCGAGCAACCCCGCTTCTCTGTTAGAGGGCTTCTTTTTAAGTTGCTGGGATTATCATACACCGTTACCAAACACACTGCCTTACTTCATTCGCGTCCTATTTTGCTCAGGTTTAGTGGTGGGATGGCAGGGTTAGGGTAACGGTTGGGCTTGATGACCTTAAAGGTCTTTTCCAACCTAAACGATTCTATGGTTCTATGATTAAATGGGTAAAGATCAACCCATGGTAAAAAAATAATTAACTATGTTCCTTCTAATTACAACTCTTGTACAACTTGGCAATACACCTGAGAACCTGTTGTGCCATGAAGGCCTTTAGGAGGTTGGTCTCACCTCCATGTTTGATTAATTGGATGCTTCCCCAGTAAAGGTTTGATGGTGATGCTAGGACGAGGGGGCAGCAGATCTGCTGATCATCAGGCTGAAGGTTCAGTCACAGCAGTGCTTGCAAGAGCCCAAGGCCAGAACTAATTCTATTTAAAGGCTGGTTTACTAGGGCCACTTAGCTGATCACAAAGGAAATGCTGTTGACTTGCAAAAGGAAAAGAGTAAATTGCCCAGTGGAAAAGGACCTGAGGGTGTTGGTCAACAGCTGGCTGAATATGAGCCAGCGGTGTGCCCAGGTGGCCAAGAAGGCCAATAGCTTCCGGGCTTGTATCGGGAATAGTGCGGCCAGCAGGAGTGGGAAGTGATTGTACCCCTGTACTGGGCATTGGTGAGGCCGCCCCTCAAATGCTGGGTTCAGTGTTGGAAAGACATTGCATTGCTGGAACATGTCCAGAGGAGAGCAATGAAGCTGGTGAGGGGTCTGGAACACAAGTCCTCTGAGGAGCGACTGAGGGCACTGGTGGTGTTCAGCCTGGAGAAGACGAGGCTGAGGGGACCTTATCACCCCCTACAACTGCTTGACAGAAGAGGGGAGCTGGTCTCTTCTCCAAGCAACAAGTGATAGGACAAGAGGAAACGGCTTCAAGTTGTGCCAGGGGAGGTTTAGGTTGGACATTAGGAAAAATTTCTTCACCAAAATGGTTATCAGGCACTGGAACAGGCTGCCCAGGGAAGCGGTCGAGTCCCCATCCCTGAAGGGATTTAAAAGCCATGTAGCTGTGGTGCTTAGGTTTAGTGGTGGGATGACAGGGTTAGGTTAATGGCTGGACTTGATGATCTTAAAGGTCTTTTCCAACCTAAACGATTCTGTGATTCTATGATTCTAAAAGCTTCCACCTATGCACTATCTGGAGTTGGGCTGTAGGTGCAGCCCATAATTCACCCATAGACCGAACGCACTTGTTCTGAGGGGCTGGCAGGAAAGCACAGCATTACATTTATTGAAAGTATTGATTCACACATTATTAGGAACACAGTACCACTTTAGGAAAGGTTATCAGAAATATGAATATATTAAGTAACCATCTGGTCCACTTTTGTACATGCTAAATGTATTTTTTTTTCTAGGTCTGTCCATACCGTACAGATATGGTTAAGTAGCCCTCGTTCTGCTGGCAGAGCATTCCTGTCCCAGCAATGGCTTCCAAGAACAGAGATCGTAATGTAGTTTAAAAGAACTAAAAAAGGAGGGGGGAAAAAAAAGGCACATGAACCTCATATCCTAAGGCTCCGTTTGAGTCTGGCAAGCTAAGCTGGAAGCTGGTTTTACCCTTATAGCCAAAAGCAGAATACAATGGAAGCCTCCCCCAAGAAGAGAGAATTTACAGCTTTTATTAGGTCTTACAGATAACCATAGTATGCTTTATCAGTAGTCACTGTATGGATGAGAAGAGATATACAATTAAGGTGAACATACTATATTACTAAACTAGTATTACCACAAAAATGAAAAAGAGTTTTCCAGACCAGAAGAGTGCTTATATCTGGCGAATCTCAATAGGTGTTTTTAACTGTTTACAAATAGTCTCATTATCATATATCCTGCAGTTCTAGAGCTGAGGCACTACAGCACAGGCATGAAAAATCTCACCCAAATTCCCAGTGTTATATATGCTATGACTAAAATTTTTAAAAATCATTTCCAGACAACTTCAGTCTCAAATCTCTTAAGTCTCTTAAATTTGTCTTAAATCTCTGGATATCAAAAACCTCTAACATACTTGCTCCTGAGGATAATTAGCCCCCAAACTATTTTTTAAGTATACCTGAAATATATTGGTAACTTACAAACACGTTTCAGGGTTACATGATTGGTAAGTAAACAAGTCTTTGGTAAATAATAACTACTCTGTTCTTTACTTAGTTAAAAAAATTAATTTTTAAATCTAGATTAACTGATTTTTTAAATAATTATTTCTATAATGAATAAGGCTCATATGGCACAATGCTGAGTGGGATGAATGGCTGTACGTAGCAAAACCTGATTGATGTTTTCAGGTTACAAGTCCTGTTAATAGTTGGTTCCTGCTCTGGCTCATTTTCCTTTTGTGCCCTTCAGCCAGGCCCAGGATGCTGAATCTGAATGAGAGCTTTCTAATGAATTAGCTTTCCAACATTTAAAGGTGTCAGCAATCTAGAAAATACTGTCCATTGCAAGGACACACTCTACAGTAGGTACTGGATTGTATGCTAAAAAACTACAACAAACCAATTAGTTTAAGGTTGAAATAACACATTATAGCTGCAGTATTTCCTGAAGATGTCTGCTTTACCACTTGTGCAGTAAAACAGAAAATCTATGCACTATGCATGCTTGTGCGAGTTGGAGATGACTGCTTGCTCCCAAAGGAAACCTAAAGGCACAGGACATAAGTAATGTGAATGAAATTCTGATAACAAACATTGGCTTCTGTTTTATTACAAGAATCCAATTAGAAATTGAATGCCTAAACTGATATTTTTATTGTTTGTGTACTAGATGCCTTCACTTTGGCTAAAAGATACTATACCATGTCCTTTAAGAAAAATAGCAGCATTAAATAGATCTTGTCATTTCGGAGGAGAAATAAAGAGAGGTCTGCTTTAGGTTTGGTTTACAGAGTTTTAGGGATTATTTTAAACATGTCCAAGAAATTATCAGATTATTTTCAGTGACTGTTGCAGTTTTACTGTTCCACTACAGTTTTTTAATCATCTTCCTTGTTAAAGGATCAATTACATTTGAGACAATAAATAGTATACTTTATAATAAATAATATTCAAGTCAAAGTATTGTACTTACAAAATAATGTAACACTGTAATAGGATATTCATATTGATTCCATTTTATATATTCTGCAGAAAAAATAACATTTCTAGTAGGAAGGAATTACTTATAAACCTAGCAAGATCTACACATTCACATGTGTGTGTAAACAACTTAATAAGGTTTGTTACGTTTCCAGAAAAGCTATGCTTTTACAGTAGGTTTTCGGCTAAATGTTATCATAATATGGTAGTAAATATATAACAGTGCTTATATTTAGCTCCATCACAAATTTTAATTGGGAAAAAAAAATGGAGTGCCATTATTTACAAAGAACAGCAACTTTCCTTTTGCTTCACAAGTGACTGTATCTGTGTGTGAACAAAATGTTAGGGCGAGGCATTCCAGACGAACTGCAGCTAAGGTTGGACGAGGATGATTTCATGATGAACAGTGAAGGTCCTGGCAATAAATACCTAGAAAGGATATGAAAAATATAGCAGAGTTTACAGGCAAAGTGACATTCAAGAGCAAAAGAATTAGTTGTTCACGTGCCATACCTTAAAATCGTGGTATGCAAGAAATTATGTACAATAAATATTATTTATAGAACATACAGGGCATTAGGCACTAGCTAACTCAGGAAACAGATCGAAACTCAAGAGAAACTCTTAGCAAAATTTCAAGATGTTGTATGAGGATCAAACATCTTTCCAGTCCTTTATGTTTAAAGGAGGTGGATAAATAAAACAATGGCATCCTGTGTAACACTACTACCAAAAATTAATACTTCCCCCATTGTTCTCTGTTATTATAGTACTACTTATTCAATGTAAACTGGGTAAAAACTGCAACTGATATTAACCAGCTTATAAAAAGTTAAGTTGCAAAAAAAGTTGATTAGAGAAAACCCAGAAATTTTCAGCTTTGGTTTCCAGCTCTAATCTTCTAAAAATAGACATGCTATCATTTCTACTCTAGCAAAGCAAGAAACAATGATGCTACAACCTAGTAAGTCACATCAGTGACTATTTACCTTTTAAATTCAGGCAGCTATATAGCCTGTATTTTATGTAATACTACAAACAATAATTTATCATATGCGTAACATTCATTCTTAAATCTTCTCATGTTATCATTTCCTAATAGTTAATTGCAGAAGTCATTAGATGAGCACAGTAAGTGCAAAAATAACATGCACACTAAATCAGAATTTCATAATGAATTATGTCAATGTTAGGATGGATTAAAACAACACGTTATATAAATTATTGCTTAAAAATTTTTGCACCATTCTAGTGAAGCATACTGATTAACAATGAATAAGTTAATAGATTGATCCTACTTATCACATGGATAGAAACAGCACCACACTGCCAATGGGAGACAATCTACTTAAGGAAGTGCACACATTTGGTTTGTTTAGGCTTTGAGAAAAGCTGCTCTTATAAAAATATTATCACCAATATATTTTTTTTTAAATTTACAAAAAAAAATAGAGTCTGTTTTGGTATGGGTTGGCGGTGAGCTTGACAGTTCCCTGTGTCACCAGACTGAGTCCTACCTTTGCTTGACAATACACTAAAAACTCCAATGCTTCCCAGAGAATATACCATGTAATAGGTAAGATCATTTAGCAAGCTGTAAGGACCTAGCAGTAGTTTTTTTTTTTAATTTTGTAACATAAGTGAATTTGTCAAAATATGAAAAGACTGACTTTTTACACAATTTGATTTTAAATATTATTTTAAAGATATTTTGGTATAGCTTTTGAGGTGCCCTATTGTTTTCTTTACCTTTTTAATTTTGTGAGGAAAAAAAATTACATTAATACACATTTACATTAACACTCCTATTCATTCTCTTCATGACATATAGTGGATTTACAGTTAGGAGATGGGATTGAGAACAAATTTGAAAAGCGAAAAAAGACCTCTGTGGCTGTTTTCATTATCTTTTTCTCTCTCCCTGTACAAATAAATTTTCTCAGCTAAAGAGATACTTATTTGTAATCTTTGAAAGCTTTAGTTTCACAAACATTTGTTTCATAAACACAAACAAAACAAAAAATTGGTTTGTGTTCAGACAAAAGTTCCTCAAATTAGATTTTGTAGTCTGGAAAAAATTGACTTCTTGTACATTTATTAAATTATACTCTGATCTCTTCGTGCACTTCACACACTTTTACAGAGTGTGTGTAGTGTGTTTTTACTATTATTAGTAGTTCAGATTCTTGTATCATTTAAAAACAGAATCCTAGATGAAATGTGAAATAGTATTGTGGTTCTCTCATTTCTAGAAAAATAGTTTGTTACCTTACAATTGTGGGGCATAATGGGCAAAAGCATTTATTTCCATACGTATCTTTCATTTCACAAATTCAGAATACCATGGTTAACTAGCATATTGCTGTATCCACAGTATAGATGTAATATTTGTGGAGATTAATATAAAAACTGTAACTGTGAAATTTATTAATAAACTTCTATTCAGCATCCAAAGAAACACAGAAACCGCAGATGAGAAAGTTCTGTTGGACCATCCCCTTCACCGCTTTCCAAATGCAAGCCCATTAGCTGCAGTACATTGGAGTAATCCTATCAGTTTAAATAGTTTGTGGTTGGTCATGATGAAAAATTTTCTGCAATATTAACAGTAAAAGCAATAAAAACTTCAAGGTTGAAGATTTTCTAGTCTTAGCTAATCCAGATGACTTTACCATACTCCTGGTATAGCTCAGTAGATGCTAATATTGAATATGATATGTTTTGTGGCTAACATACTTCTACTTTTGCTGTGACCAAACAAATTCAGTTTCTGGTTGGTTTTAAATTATCTTAGAGTGCCTTAAGATCCATATGACAATAACAAATGGGTTCAGCGTATCAAATAACTTGTCTGAGATATAGCAAGTAAGCAATTAAGTCATAAAATAGGTTTAACAGATAATATATCACAAGTTTGCTTTTCACGTAATATTTAACTCATAAAGCCCTTCTATGAAATAATGACTGTAAGATGTTTTATATAAAGCAAGCATTTGTAAGTTTATGTACATAGTAATCCAAATTGCCATTATGGATAGAATTTGGAACCTAAGTAATTTAAAGCTTGCATTTAATTCTCCACCTACGACTGTTAAATTGCAGATCATTGACTCCCACAGTTGGAACATTTTCAGTAATCCCTATACTGACAATGTTACAATCCCTATTGTATCCACTTGGAGAACTAAACCAGCCCATGGAGAATCGGGTAAGTGCCAAATAATTTTTTTACTATATGATGCTGTTTTGCAAGGTTTGAAAATATATTTATGCTCTGTAAGATGAAATAATAAACTTTCAATCTGTAGGTTTTGGAAATCAACTTTGCAAAACTGTGCAATACAGTAAATCAGATGGCACTTACCTGACTCTCGGCTGGAGCTGAGCCCCTATAGCATCCCACTGCGAATGTGAGGCCAGAAGTATCATACATGTTAGGATACCTCTAGGAATGCAAATCTGGAATCAGTGACTTTGAGGGATCTGAGAAGGGGAAGAAAGGAAATTTTCAGTTCACTTGATGGAAAGCCTTTGCTGCAGCTACTTGGGCAGTAGGCAACCAAGCCTTTAGTAAGCGCACAAAATGTGGATATCTAGTCTTCTTGTAGTAGCACTTTGCGAGTGAGCTAGAGGGATTAGAACAATAGAAACAGGATCAAGGGAAATGTTGGGTGGTTTACCTTTTTTTTTTTTTAAATACACAGTGAACTGGGCTTAGTGAGAAGTGTAGTGGCAGCAACACAGACAGATACCTGTTCCAATATTAGCCTTTACACTTACAATTTAGGAAGAGAATATTGAAAATGTATACCTTGTGTCATCCCAGTGGGGGCTAATCCCAGTTGGGGATCCTCTTGAATCCGATGAATATTTGTAAACCACCAGCAGGCAATGTTTACAAAGCTGTACTATTCGTTGGCAACACTGGAGTTGCTCCGGAGTCACCACCTCTGTGCTTTTACTGAATATGGTTTCCCAGGAGCTCCTGTTAAGGAAAAAGACACGACTTCATGTTTTCTGTCACAAATTGCAATCTGAGAGCTTTACTGCTGTATATCAGATTTAACAATAGAGGAACAAGAGAAAAAGCATGACCTTGCCTGTTTACAGGGAAGGTCTATACTATTTAACACAAATGCTGGCAGATGCTGAGCCCAAAACACAAATGAAGAAGTTTATCTTCATATGTGAAATGTCCACAGCCGTTTTTCTCTTTGTTTGTTCCCTAAAGCATTTATAGCGCCATTACTTAGGTTTAGCACATAAAGATTTACTGTCACATAATTGTATATGCGTCTCACAACAGGAATAACAAAAAACACTTATTATTTTTAACAGGCTACTACCTGAATGCAAATGTGATGTGATATTGAAGGAATTAATAAAAATAATAAATTATTTCTAAATGTCTACACAGCACAATAATACTCTTTTTCTAATTTAAGTACATGATACTAAGAAACAAATATGAAATTAATTTACAGGAGATTAGTATGTGCTCTGCTTCCTTATCCAAATAATCATATGAGGAGAGTTTCTCAGTTTAGTCATTCAAATACTACTTATCATTCCATCTGCTCATATAGGGTTGGTCTTCTATAATTAAGTGCAACTTGCAAAGTGTATCTATAGAAGCATTCCTCTTTGAAATGCAGACCATTGTGCTTTTGTTTTCCTAAAAAGCTATTTCTCTTCCCAAAAAACCCAAACCCTACCATACCAATGTAAACCGGGTACGGTTTACCATAGAAGATGACAGTAGTTCTTTGCACACACCTCAACACTTCTCTTTGTGCAAAATTCTGACTAGATTACAGATGTTTACATCTGTTCTAAAGGCAATATGGTTCCTGTGAAGATTTTTTTTTTTTTGGTCAAAACATTATCCAGTAGCACAGATGGTTTGTAAGCTTGAGGTTTTTTTGTTTGTTTATGAAAGAAGCATTTCCTAGAGTGAGGAAAATCTGCTGCATCTGGCTGCAACATAACATCCAGGATGATTTAGCCTTGTCCACCGAGATCAGCAGCAGATTTCACATCCCTGGTGTAGGAAGTTTGTCCTTAAAACAACATCAAAGAACCAGCAAGCTTACTTCTGCCCAGTGAGATTTTTAAAGTTACGCTGTATTAGGGTGGAATTATGAACATTAACGACTAAAAGATAAGCTCTATGTATAGCTAACTGATTTTTCAGCCTGGCTCCTCAGTCTGGATAATATGTTCCAGCTGAAACTGTTCAGTCCTACGGAGTTTTCACTGCACACATAATTTTCAAGTGATGCACGCATTTCTCATTATTATCCATATAATGACATTTTTAAGAAATACTCTTTATAAGGCATCAAAACTGTTTCCTTTCATAAACAGAATAATTCTGCTACTTGAAGAGCTACTATTTTCTTTAATATATTTTTCTCAATATTGTTTCCCATCTGGGAACTTCCCTCATGTATTTTTACATGGAAATTAATCTATTGTCTTCATTCTTTCCTCATGAAGTCATGTGATGGTTTGTAGAAAGCAGAAAGATGAAGTTCCAAGTATTACATTCGTTCAACAGATTCACAGCACTACACATAATTATATTCTAATTTAATCCACAAATCTCCAAAATCTTGTGGAATAAACTCTCCCGATAAATTCCTTAAGTTCTGGGCTTTGAGGTCTGTGATCGCTTTCCTACAGTTACCAGGGATTTTATCAGTGAAGAATAATATGTGGCCTGCTATAACTATGGCTGATTATGAACACAGTGGTATCCAGTTACCCTAACAACAAAGATTGAGATTTGGAAATATATATGTCAATTTTAATGAGCTTTCATATAATGTGCAACCTCCTCCACGTGCTACACAGATTCAGTTCATACTCCATTATCCTGCAGTCAGCAGGGATGGGAGTACTGTTACCTAAGGAAGTTTGATTTGTTATTCTCTAACTTTAGTTTCCACACATTAGTAAGAAATCATGGAGTCCTCACCACATCCAGAAGAGTATTATGCTTGATATTGCAATATTGTCAATTATGTGCTATTCTTTTTATAACCATCTGATGTCAACTAGTTCCTCCAGTTTTCTCTTATTCATTTTAATTGTTTATTATACAGTAAAACAAATGTAGCTTTATGAAACCACCTACATTGCAGTTATTTCACTGAGGTTTTCTTTGTTTGTTTGGTCATCCTTTTTGCTAAAAGAGCATATGCCTAGCAGAGATCTGACCAGCAAGAGGAAACCTTAAGACTATTAGCTCTGTTCTTCTCCCAAGATATGTATCCTAAGAATAGTCAAAGTACTATAGTCAGTATCTTTTCATATACTCATGTTGTTTCTGAATTAGCACATTAATACCCCTTCCCAACATGTTTCCCCAAATTCTACACATGCCCTATGTTTATTCCAATCTGTTCTTTAAAATGGCACAGTGAACTCCAAGGAAGAGTGATGAGAAGTTGGCCTCTCTGCTACAGAGGTGCTGTCATGAGTTGTCTGTTGTGTATCACCCAGCAAGAAGGATGCTTGGAACTGAATAAACAACATACTGGGAAGGTACAAACAGCCTTTCTGTTTTCTTCTGTGAATTCTGTATTAAGTATATTACATGCAGAGTGATCTCTACACATACTGGATATTTGCATATTACTTTTACAGTATTTTTAGAATCTTTTACACAGCAACTCCTCTTACAAGGAATTGGATCTTTGTCAAAGAATTTTGCTCCACTTTGGAGTCAGCGGAGTCTTGTTCTGCATGAATGAAATTACTGCAAGATGAGAAATCCTGTCTTCATTGAACTCTTCTGCTGGCTCAAAGACTCTTCTCCCAAGCCAAGCGAGCAGCAGAGTTGTTCAAAGGTTTTGAACAAAAATCTTTCTTTGCAGAGAAAAAAAAACCACAACCCAAAATTAAAATTCTCATACATATTAGAAGATTTGCACACTAAAAGTAAAATTCAAAGTAATAACAGCTTTATTAAAAGCGAAGGTAATTATTATACTTTATGGCAACAAAAGTCAAGCTTGGACTCTAGACTTCACACCTCTGCTGGCATGAAGAAGGACCCTGCAGCTGCTGAGGATTATACAAAAAAAAATGTTTCAGATTGGAAACACAGAAACCCCTTCTCACCCTACTTTAACTTTTGGAGTATGCTGCATTCCCAAAACCTACCTCTTGCAAATCTCAAGGCCGACATCTGCGTGTTCCCGTGGCCTGTCTCAGTGAAAAAAAATGTGAAGACTCCTAACGGCTTGCACAACAACAAGCCTCCATCAACGAGAAGATAATGGTAAGAAAGACCAAAAAACTTATGGCCTTTCGGATACTCTCAGATGCCACTTCTTCCTGTTATCCCTTTTGTTGGGAAACAATTAAGAAGTGCATTGCATACATTCTGTATGTATGACAGATGACTGTATGTGAAGAACATATTGACCTGATTCCTTTGTACATACAATACCCATCAGCATACTATGTGTGTTTGTTGTAGTGCCTTTTCAATAAATCTCTTTGAACACCTTACGCGAGCTAATCAAAACCCTTCCCATTCTTTATACATTGTATATACTTACAGAGAAAATGTCTTTCTGTATGCAATATATTTCATATTTACACATTTGTATTCTTACTTTATGAAGAAATTAGGTGGGTGGGGGCAGGGAACATTATCTTATACCCATGATCTGATCCTCCAAACCTATCCTTACATCAATGCCTTTGATTTCAGGAATGTAGATTTTGAAGTGTAGGATATCTAACTTTTAATATATGTCCTGATCTTTTTTCCCTCCCATATAAAACTTGTATTTGCTACCCAAAGCAAAAACATCTGCTTACCTCAATATGGACATTGCCCATTCTGCATGTACTTAAATTCCCACCATTGTGGGAAACAATGAATGTAAACGAGCACAGAAATTCCAACTCATTATTTGTAAATCACAGAACTGACATTGCATTTGGCATGAGATGTCAGTTGCACTTGTAACTGAATTCCTCCCTTGTAAGTATTGAGCTAAAATAGATATGACAATGATTTCTGTTAACAGTAAGTCCACATTTGACACAGAGTGGTCTGGCTTCAAATTGCGCACCACCCAATGAAAGAGTTGACCTAAAGCTAAGATATTTTGAAAATCAGATTTTTTCCCTTAGATTATTATATTTTTAAATACATTACTAAATGTCTGATTCCATTACTGAAATGGTTGGCCTGGATTCTTTCATTTCTAATTATACTTTATCTTTAGAGGGTTTTAAAACAAGTTCAGTGTATTACAGCATTCTCTTGAAAGAAAATAAGAAACAACGCATGCCAGCGCTGATTCTAATTGTGACGTTATGAGGAAGAAGACTAAGATAAGAAAAATAGGCTTACCCTGAATTACAGAAACAGTTCCATAGACCTTGACCATGGCTCCAAAGCAAGCGATTAAATACTCGGTTAAAGAGACGGTACAGATGTAAGTTTTCAATGTCTGGAGCCTTCCAGACACGCTGTAGAACTGCACGAACACTTGTCTTGACTATATCCAAAACCTAGGAAAGAGTATTCCAAGCAAATCAAAGCAAAGGCATATTGCAAAACCTAAACCCAACTGTTCACTGATTCACTGCACACACACACGCAGATGACTGCATAGCTATAAATTCCCACAGATGTCTATGTTTCATTTCTGTGCATTCATCACCAAACTTTTATGATATGTTTTTTCTGTCAATAACATTTTGCAAAACCAAATCAAAATATTTTATTTTTATTACAGAAAAGTTCTTTTCTACTATTATCAGTCTGTTCAATGCTAGCTCATTTAAATGACAACAAGAGTTTAAAAAGAAACAAAATGGACATGAAGACTAGAAGTAACATAATTAACAACCCAAATATTACATACTTGAAAATTATCTCTACTTTTCCCCCTCCCTTTTAAACTATCATCTATTTTATAAAGAACTACAATGTCCTGAAAATCTACAAGTTTAGCTACAAGCTGCTTTCGGTTTAATGTCTGTTGAATCACAGTGTTACCCTAGATCAAACCATTTTAGTTTACCTATCACACGGGAAACAGCGTAGTGAAATCACCAAGTAAGAAAATAACCAGCAAGATATTTAAAATAGCAACGTTTATAGAAATGCAATGGATTTATTATACACAGACTACATTTAGATGCAAGTGTGTGAAGATAGGGGTGAACAAAACGCTAAGCTGCATTCAGTACAGCACTGAGAGTTTTACCCAGTAAGTCTTAGCTACCCAATGCACACACAGACTTACGGGCAGTCGCATGTCCAACTCACGAGACCCCTTTGATAGGCCTTTGCACACCCCACTGAATTGGGACATGCAAGGCAGGATTCACCTTGCCTGCTTTTAAAACACCTGTATGTTCTCTTAAGTCAGGCCTCTAGGTTCCCTCCATAATCACTGGAGGGAAACAGGCTCCAGCATGTCTTGGCTTCTATTTAGATACTATCAGTACAACGGGGAATAGTTTTGTGACCAAAGTAGCATTTAGGCCCCATGCAGGCACCCTGAATAGTGTAAAATCTGGCCTAAAAAAAAGTCTATGGTGCATGTAACCTATTAACAAAAAAGTCAATGTGATTTCCTTCAAAGGCGACACCTGTACTCTCTCTTTCACATAACAGCATCTTCCAAAAAAACAGACTCAAGTGGGTGGTGAACCAAGGGAGTTATTCACTTATTTGGTATAAGATGTTGCAAATTCTAAGATTTAGAAGGTACAGTACTCACCCAGGAAACCTTCGGATGTGCATGACAAACTGATTCACACGGTTAAACATTTGACTCACTCTAAAAGTTGAAGGGGATTTAGTAAAACAGTAAGGTACGGAAGCATGGTGTACAACTTCGATTTTTTTTGGTCCTGCATAACAAACTGTTGTTTGTAAATAGTCTGATTAGGCATGATGAAGGAAATGAAGCATAAATAATGAAGCATAAATAAACAAAATGCTTGCAATAGCACGATGGAGCTGTGTAGTAAAGAGAAATGCTTAATGGGCAGAAAATCTATAGATACCCAATAATGACAGCCTTGACGAAATATGTCATTTACGTGCTATTTAAGCTCTTTTTTGAAGACCTAGGATTAGTCTGCATGCATAGGTCTTGTGCTAATTCCATGCACATATGCACCCGATGTGAATACAATGCTGTCCTCTCTTTTGGGAATTGTCATGACTGCAGGTGTCTTAACACATGGAAACCACACCTGTGGTCTCTTCCTCCCAAAGAGTGAGATCAGAAGAGTAGTAAATTATAACCCAAGGATGGTGATCTGCTTTAGTGACTACAGGAGCTAAACCCAGGTTTTAGACCGCCCCACGCTTGTGGAATGGGTCCAGATTTTCAGATACTCCCTGAGCAGCGTTAGCCTACTTCTCAAGCATGCCTTTTCCTTGTGTCTCACCTGACTAAGGCTTTCCCACACAAATTCCCAGTAGCTGTGATGGTATACATCCATCCAGATCAATTAAGTCCCTAAATTACATAAATGATCGACCATACATTCCTTTGCAATGTTACACTGACTAATAGCGATTTTTCTGCCTGTGTAAAGGAGAAAAATTCCACCCCATATAGATTCTCTCACTAGTCCAAAAGACATGTACTAAGAACTATGATGCCAATGTGCAGCATTTTCTTTTACTTTAGCACGTGAATTTGAAGAAAACTAAGGACTCAACCTTGCACCTTAGAGCAAGCTGCAGACTGCCAGGTACTCTGGAAAAAAACTGCCTTGCTGTTTTTCCTGTGTTGATATTGTGAAGACGCCAAGGGGGAAAACGTCCCAGTTAATTGCTCTTAATTTACAAACATGGCCTCAATCATCCATTTAAGAAAAGAGACAGGGCATTGCACAAGAGCATTGCACAAGAGCTGGAACTTCATGAAACCTGCATCTCTGTTTTTCTAAGTTAATTTCCCTAGTTTGCCTTCATCTTTCTGTTTACTTAAATTTACATCATTTACTTTAACATACCCAATTATCTAGGTGTAACAGAACAAGATGTTATGAAAGAGCATATTCAAAACAAGATGTACAGACCCTCTGGTAACCATCAAAACACTTTTAAAGAAATTATGTAAAGTGATGTAACACAAAGCAGTCACAACTCTTCCCATTAAAAAGCCTCTTTTTCCTAAAAGTCTTGGGAGACTAAATTTCATTTTAGCATGTATCGATTTCATCAGTTTACTCTCAACTGGCTTCTAAATGCCTCCTGTACCTCTGCTGTAACATTGGAACATTAGACACTAAGACTGTGGGCAGGAGTTTAATTTTTCTAAATCATACTGAATAATTCTTAAAAAAATATACCTGTCAGAGATTAACATTGTGAAATCTAGTACATTGCCCAGGTATTTTCTTCTCATGTTTTAGAACTTCCCAGTAAGTATAGTGAAGGGGACTGAGTTTCTGGTTTGTATTTCACAAAGTTGCAGAAGGTACCTTTGAGACAGATTCCCTACTTGCATAAATATTCTCCACCTTGAGCTCACTTCTCCTTTACCCACCTCATTGGAATATAAAACATACTTCTTTCAAATCAACAAAAGCCTACACATTTGGCAGTCCTCAGCTGCAATGTCATTGTCAAAGTTAATCTGTTTTTATAAACTACCCTTCTAAGAATAACTACCTGATTGCTTGAAGGGATGGAGGTTAAAAGCAGTTTTTTTAAAAAAAAGGCAAATCATTTCCAGTGCAAGCAAAGATGAAGGGCCCACTAGTACTTCAGGAATTCTAAGTCTCCTAAGTTGTAAAAGATGTCCTCACAAGAAGAGCAAAGAAATCCACATTTCTGATTGTGCAGTTTTTGCTAATAACGACCTGGCGTATCAACCTGTATCATCCTGACTTTGTACATGTGCCCTTGGTTTTACATGGCTGTCAGTCAAATAAAGGACAGAATCACCCTTTATTGCAGGCTTTCTGAAATAACGCTTAAAGGAGAAAAGCCTGACAGGATTGAAAAGAAAGTTTAAAAACAAAACAAACCAAAAAAAAGCCCCACTCACCAGACAAACACAGGTAAATTAAACCAGATGGCCAAAGGGAGCTTAGGAAGGGCAATTAATGTATAGTAAACAGCCTCAGCCCCTCAAAGAGCTCTGGCAATGCCTTCCCATAGTTTTGGGGAATGTCTGATGGGGAAGGGGATGAAAGAGACACCTTAACCAGTCTTGTGTGAAAGCCTTGTATCCCAGTTGCAACGATGGGCCCAAGCCAGTGTCTTCTTTCCACACTTGTGGCATCATAGATTAAAGAATGTAATTCTAGCAACACATTCCCCACCAGTTCCAACAGTCCCAAACTATCTATGTATGTAGGTACCTATCTATCCTTCCCTCCTCCCTGGCAGCTCTTCCTCCATATCACCATTTTGTACAAGCCCCCATGAAGACTCTCTCTGGTTTTCGACAAAAGGCTACAACTGCACAATAGAAAAGACCTATGTGCATGTGTATTGGGATTACAGCACTCTTTTCTGTAATTAAAAAGAAAGAAGAGATCATTTTAAGTGAAGGACCATTCAGCAGAACAGCTGTAGATACCAAACAAAAAATGACACAATTTCAGCCAATGAAGTTGGTGGTTCTACTGATTCCTGTCAATGGCACAAGAAATAATTCTGCTAAATTATAGATCTGAGCTGCCATTTGACATGGTTTGAGAAGAATTTTGGTTAAATTAGAGCCTCCTACATTTCCAAGTTCTTCTTCAGTCCGTCATGACTAATTTAGTTTTAGAAAGCTGTGTGGACACATATTCCATTTAATATCTGAACTTCACTTGAATAGTCAAATATATTTCTATCATACGACACCACATTAAATGGACATGTTTTCTCTGTCCAGTATGAAAATACAAGCATTTAATGCAATATTTGATAAAATACAATTTGAAAGACTGAGGATCATTCTGCTGATTTTATAAAAAGTAATTTGAGATGAGGATCTGAAATCGTTCTTCCATTCTCCTATAACAATCTACCAACCTTTTCCTGTTACAATATTTATCCTGTATGCAGCATTTTGATTAAGTTACTTTCTTTTATGGTCTATAAAAACAGATTGTGAAACTGAGACACACAGAGATTAAATGCCTGGAACCAATATGCTAATCCACATAATGTGTCAGTGACTAAGGCAGAGAAAGACCCAAAATACCATTTTAGGGGCACCAAAGTATTAATAATAGATATTATTTCTGCTACATTAAGGAAAATAAATATTACACTGGGAAGATGATTTTGATTGACATATGACATACAGATATGACTGACATACTACTACTGTAGGTCAGGTTTTAAACAGATTAAAAACTCTTTAGATGCTACGCACAACAGTAGCTCCTAGACAGCAGATGAGTGAAGACAGAATGATAAACAAATATAATTAGTCTTTGCAAGACTAAACCAGTTAGTTGAGCATTATAACAATGTCAATAATCTTTGCTCGGCAGGTTATTTTTTATTCAACATGATCTGTTGTAACACTGTGGGTCAAAGACTCAAATAACCAAGTGCAATATCACTAACTCTAATGGAGTTTTAATATGCCCGGTCTGAAACTGCTGACTGGTTTATCCCTTATCAATCAAATCTGCTGAATCAATACACTTCTGAGACTGTTTGCTAAAAAGTAGGTATGTAAGCACTAATCATTTATTCATTTGCTTTTCTTTCAGCAGACTAATTTTTTAAGAAATTGTTTCTGAAAGTATATTCCAGGATAATTATGCTTGTCTAAACAACATAATTTCTTGCAATGGAATTAATTCATATCTATGTTAGTATTAATAGACAGTATTTTAGCATCTCAAGTCACTCCCAGCTACTGCTAAACACCACTAGAAACACTGCTATGTGTCTACTTCAGATGACATCCAGAAAATTAAATGTCACTTACTTTTCGTTGCTTTACAGAATCCAGTTTTACCAACCAATAGGATGCCACTTTTGTCTTATGGTACTTCCAATTATCCATAATCTGTAGTCATTGCAAAACACAAGACAAAAGAAATACACATAAAACCAACTGAAATCTGGCATTTCATTCCCGAGCATTCCTAACGCTAAAAAGTGTGAGCATCTAAAAGACCTCTGTGAAAAGAACATATTTGCAAATCTACGTGGGGGAATGTTTGCAAAGACATGTGCAAGCTTTCAGTTTAATCCTACCCTCTTTTCCACCTGATTCTGACAGTTGTACACTACAAAGCAGGTGGAAACTTGTCTTGACTGACTCTGCTCGGATTCCTTGAATACAGCAGTAAGTTCAATATTGCGAGGCTGTTAATCTATATAAACAGTGAGGGGGGTTGCTGCATAAAGGACATTAGAAATGCCTTGAAAATATCCTTTCTATAAATGATCCCATATGAACTGCAGTACTCTCCTTTTATAATGTCTAAGTGCTACCAAAATAGCTCGAGCTGTGAACATAGTTTTATTTTAATTTTGTTATTTTATCTTTCTATTCTATTCCAGACCTACGACAAGTTCTGCCTCACTGACAACTAATATACCATTACTTGATCCTTGTATGATTAAATATTGTTTCCCATCAGAAACTGCTTTAAGGCCAGATGAATTTACCAAAGAATTCTGCAATAAGTAAGTGCATTTATAACCCTGCTAACGTTGTATGAGAAAGTACCACTAGATGGAGCACATACACACACACTCCCATACGTACATAAATACATTCTCACATGTCTGAAGGAGAAAATTTAATGAAGCATTTTACTTCTGATCCTAAGATGAGACGCTAAATATGCTAGTTATCAATGCTATCTTCCAGAATCACCCAAATCAACCATCTTTACAGGAGAATTCCCTTCCACCGTGATGTAGTTGCGCAGATTACTAGAGACATTACCAACATACTGAAAGCTCACAGAGCAAAGGACATTTCTGACCGGATAATGAATTAGATGAATTTTAACACAGCATGGACTGTGCTTACTACATCAGAATACTGGTGTTAATTTAAATTACTACATCCCTCCATATCTCTATTAGACTGAGAAAACTTTTATCTTCATTTTTTTTTCTTTTCCAAGCTGATGTTAGTTTCTTTGCACTAGATATTGAAAAGGAATTTAGATACCATGGATTTTCTGCTTACATATCTGAGTATTGGGTGTTGCTTTTTAATTGCCCTTTAGATTGGGCATTGTTTCACATCTTTGATACCAGATGACGAGGCTCAGGACAATGCTGGATGCAAGAAAGGGTAAGCTGGCAAATCAGAGCAGCCAAAAAGAGAGTGACTGCGTTCTTTAGGACTAGCAAACTTCCAGTTTGCCTTGCAGCGTAACAGTTTGAGTTCTCTAGTATGCCTATTCAAGAGCAAGTTAAACATGTCAGGATCTGTACTAACAATATCAGATGAAATATAAACTGTTAATGAATTGCAACATTCTTCTTAGCTTACTTAAAAGTTTGAGCTTTCTCCACAATGAAAAACTGAATTTTCCTAACCTTCCTGATTGTTTCTCATATATTTTATAAAGACATAGGAATGTTTTCAGCGCTGCTCTTTTAAGGTCAGAAAGCATGCAAAGCTCCAAGCTTTTGAAATCTTTTGAATTATCCTGAGTAATGGAACTTTTAAGGCCACAGGAGCTTATGAATCATAAATTGAGCTTTCTAGTTTCCTGCCTTTTAGTGGCTTACACAGTGTCTAGCCTGTAATTCTTCTTTCTTATCTATAGATACTTACATCTTCTATAATTAATTCTGATTCTTCATCTGTTTTACCTGGGAACTTCATTCGCAAGTCATTGATAATGAGAAGAGTCTCTTTTGTCAAAGCGACTTCTTGCTCTTTTGTTTTCTGTTGCAGCAAAGACTCGCTCTAAAAAAAAAACACGAAGCAGAAGAAAAATTTCAGACATGTCATTAGATCCCATTACAAAGATGTTTCCTTCATAAAAATAAATTCTAAATAGGGTGATGTAAAATGTATTATTAAAGTGGACAGAAATAATATCTAAAACATAACTAATATACACACATATGCCACGAACACTAATTTATCACCATTACTTATAGTTGTCAAGAAAGTCAAAACCAGTTCAATTTGTTTGAAAGAGAATAAACAAATATATATTTACAGTGCCCACCATTTAAAATATAAATCTGAAATTTAGATAACAGACTTTGAATTTAAATTCAACATAATGAAAAGAAATTATTAGTCATAAAAAACTTCCTTTCAGTTCTGCACTGCAACAATTTAATAGAAACCGCCAATTATACGTCATTGTGCCAAGAATTCAGGAAGCATTAAAAGTAAGGACTCTTGGCTCCTACTCTGGTTGGGGGGTCTGACAGCGTCTTCGATTCTCCAGGATTTTCCTTAAAATATCAGTTCTTTTTATACCAACACCAATTTGAACCCCTACAGTGTCTGCGTAACATCACCTCTTGGAGGGGTTTTCTTTAAATCTTAGATGCAAGTTGGAAGTATTTCTGATCCCCTTTCTTTATTTTTGCATACTTTTGCATTTGCAAGATTAAGTGGGCTTTTACTTTTTTTTCAAGAGGAAATTGCAGATTTTTTAGGCATTTCTAAATCTTTGTATTTTGTAAGAACTACAACACTTACTTAAGGATATTTCTGCTTAAATGATAACATATGATAACAAATGATAACATAACACTTACTTAAGGATATTTCTGCTTAAATGATAAATATTTTCAAGCATAACAGAATACTTTGCTGTGTGATATATAATAATGTAGCTGAAATAAGATAGCAAATATTTCCAAATCCACGTCTGTTTATAACTGCTATAATAATGTGTCTGTAATTCCCAGCTGTAAATGGCTTATTCTCAACTGTTTCCATACCTTTAGTACATTTGGATCTCAGCAGCCTCCAGAAACGGCAATATGCTGCTCTTTTCTTGCCCAAAGGGTAGATAAACTAATACTTTATCACGTACAAATGGTTTCTTTTTAGTAAGTTACAGTTTATCAATTTTAATTTTATTCTGGCAGTAATATATAGTATATTATTCTTAGTTGCAAAAATAATTATGAACAGAGTTCCATTCACAATACAGTGCTGTACTATGAGTAGTTCTTATCCATTCTGTAAGTAATTTTATTCACATTATTTTAAGAAGCACGACCTAAGCTCTATCACCCAACATAATCGTTTGGCACATCAAGATCATTTCCGTGGTGGAGCTTTCTCAACGACAAAGAGCATACAGTTTCTTACTAATGTTAATTTAAGCGAGTAGCCCATTTTTAATGTCAGATGGTAAGAGACTGTTTTTAATCTTTCAGTAATTTGTGTTTGATATAGAGTTAATGTGAATAGAAAAATCGTTATTAGCCCTGTCTCATTAAACTCTCAGAGTACATCTTGATGATAAAAGGGTACTTTTTAGACTCGAGATAGCTAATGTGATAAAAAATACCTTTAACACGTTGTGGTGAAGACACAATCTTAATGTCTTTCCAATTCTATTAGCTGACTTTAAAGATGGAAAACCATGTTAAGGAGTATTTCACAAGATGTCAGCACACAATTTTAAAAGGATCCTTTTTCATCATTTAGACAAAGCCTCAGAGGCAAAACAGACAATGAGCATTCTACCGGATAAAAATGATGATTAGAGATAGTAAATACTGTGAAGCAAGTTAATTAGCATTACAAAAGGATTTCTCACAATCAAAGCTTGCCACAATAGAGAAAGGCTGCAAATATGGGTTAAAATGCCAATTTGTTTTGCCCCATCTCCAGATAAATTATTTGTGTGATGAAATACACAGGTCAGGCACCAAAGCATGAATGGAAAGGAACAGGAAACAACAGCCAGTACAATACTGAATGAGGCTGGGGACTGATCCCAGCAAATGCTGCCTAGGGATAAGCGGATGCGTGGTCCACCATGCAAACACAAAAGAAGAAATGCCTGGGTTGTGAAGGAGATACTAAAGAGGATGACAGTCTGGCCACAAAAGGAAAAAGTGTATGGTTCGGAAGTACACTGTAAAATTACAACTAGGCACACAAATTCTAAACAGCTAAAAGTGTTTAATCTGATCTATTTATTCTATTAATTATTTCGTTAGACCACCTGAGTCTAAATGCTTGTCTGTCTCAGGGACGGGCTTCAAAATGAAAGAAGTTTTATCTTCACTTTAAAAAAAAAAAGATGGCTTCTGAAACAGTTATTGCAGTGGCAAACCCTAAAGACAACAAAAACTATTTATAAACTTTAAATTGTTCACTTTGGAAGTAGACCTCTACTGCAGTGGTATAGTATATGCAAATTAAGTACAGTAGGTTGAAAATTAACTACACCTTCTTCTACAATGGACACCCATATGAAGTCTTACTAATATTTCATTGGTACAACATATTTACCCTTGGAGTATACACTGGTTTTGAAATATTGATGTATATTTGTTACCGTAAAGATTTTGAAGGTAGGTGCATCCTTATTTCAGAACCAGCAGTCCCCAAAAAAAATCACAGAAACTTTTTAGGAGACGTAAAAATTCTATCTTCAGAAAACTATTTAGGAGAGGGGGTTTCCCAGCCACAAAAACTCTAAGACTTCCATTCTCACAAAATACGACATCTGTATTGCTGCACCAGAAACACTGAAACATCAGGGCTAGTGCTCACAGTGAGTCATATGCAGGTCTACAGATCTTACATTCCTGAGTTTCTATCACAAGAGCATTGACTATAGCACCTTGGGTTTTCTGGCATTGTCGAAATTAGTAATGTTTTTATTGAATGTTAGAGAAATGGAATGCACTTTGAATGCAACTGCTGTGTTAACTCACCCCTGAAGAGTTCATAGTTCCCAAGCTGGGTGTCTGAGAGACTCTGGCTGAAGATGGGCTGCGATTTAAAGAATGAGACCTATTCACTGAGGATGCACGCTGGATTTGCAGAGATGCTTTGGCTGAAAAGGGACGTTGCTCAGCTGCTTGTGACTGCATAGTCAGTATTGATATTGAACGAGGGCAGCTTACAGAACGCCTTATTGGACCGGTGGATGACGTGGGGGGTGAATATGATGGAGATTTTATATTTTTCGTCAAAGGTTTCCAGTTCATTCTACCTGCAGACAAATTAAATGAATGATGTAATTACTTATTTTACACACACTTTTCAGTCTTTGTAACTAGCAACATATATAACCAGCATGTGTGCACATATGTTCTACTATAATGTGAGTTGACTAACAACTACATAGGTAGCGGTCAGTCACGTCAGATCCTCTAATAATACAGACTTTACATACTCTATAGGAACATTTATTTCTTCCTCACAGTCAGCTTTAATCAGGTAGATTCCAGTCCTCTATAACATGCATCAGATTTATGACAGAGTGCATATGTCTACTATGTGTGGCTTCCTGACTGTAAGAATATGGAAGCAGGAGAGAAAATTTGGTGGATGGATCCCTTATTTGCAAATCCCTCATCTGCTCCTGCATAGCTGTACAGTTTTTCAATTCAGTCTTCTGCTAAATAAAGGATGCTGCTATGAAAAATAGAATTTTAGAAACAGCGTATTATGTGTGCAATTACATGATGAAATTCTTTCAGACAATACACCACTAAAACAAAAAATAATATGCTATATCTATCACGTTCAACAGAACACGCTCACATAATGGTCTGCAGCAAGCAAGAAAACAATCACAAAAAAAACCCCTCTGTGCAGGGATCTCATCTGGAATATATTACTTTCTATATGTCTCCAGATACATTTCTTTATCCTTCCTATATTCCAGCTACCTTTTACAGGGAAAAAAATAACAATGTGCTCAAAAAAAAAAAAAAATCTAGGAGCAAAGAGGAACATTCACACCATTTCCAAGTGTAGCTCAGGTGTATTTTCCTCTTTAGATTTCTTGGCAGAAAAATATTCTTTTTTTTCTGTTTTTAAAATTAATTTTCATAGATTTAGAAAATATTTTAAACAAGCAAACCAGTGTTTAACCCTGAGTTACAAATATTGATACATCCTAAAATACTGAAGCATTTTATATAATTCATCGTGAATGCCAGACTTACTTGGAAAAGTGATCATTTAACTTACCCGATCGTTCCAAAGATTTGTATTTATTTTCTTCAAGATCATATGAAACTTTTTTTTCTTTTTTGTCATTGTGATCTTCCTTTTCAGTGTCTTCTCCTGATTCTGACATGCTGCTACCACTATCATAGCTATCATCACTATTGTAGTTCTTAAGTTTTCTTAAGGGCTGTGCACTTTCTGGCATTGAACACAAGGGCTAAAGAAAACAAACAAACAATCAAAAAACCACAACCACCCAGGAAATTAAATTCCTTCATAATCCCAAAGGAACATTTTACTATCACACTAGGTCCCTGATTCATCCAGGTTCATTTGTACATATTTAAGTCCCCCCAAACTAGATTGAAAGTTTGTCCTTAATTTTTAAAATAAATGCTTAAATATTTCATTAAATTCACTACACAGTAATCCTGATCTTTCTCACATGAAAAGCAGCATAACATAATAAAGGGGAAAAAAATAATTTTATTTCAAGTGTGACTTACACTACCAGACATACTGAATTATAGATTGAAATCATAAATCAAGTGATATAGAATACCATTTACAGTCCATTTCAATCCCTTACTGATATTTGCAGTAACTGAAGCTATAGTTTAACAATGATCAATGTAAAATAATTCATCAGGGAACTTTGGCTGCTACACTTCTGAAAGAAAAAGTGATTAATCCACACCCTGCAAAAAGCAGAAACTGGAAGAATATAGCAAGCTACGCTGGGTGTATTTGGTGTCACATATGCATATGGGGTTCAGTGTCATTAGGTAATCTTGTGCTATTACCAAGGATACTGCAAGACAAAAAGCAAAAAGTAGGAGACAGAGAAACTGATGCAAGAACATAAACTACAAATGAAAATTTTTCTTCTTCCATCTACCATCAGGCAGACAAGACAAAGGCAATACCCTCCATTATACCTATTACCCTAAGAAGACTCATGTGGTCACTTTTGTTTCGTACACATTTTCTTTCTTTCCAGTAACTCTCAGCTATAAGAAGCTATAGTGATGGCCTCATCTTCCTAGTCATCTAATGGACTGTAATTAAAACATATTAAGAAAAAATTAATGTCATAATTCTGAACATATCTGGGGTCAGAGTGAAATAGAAGAACTCTCAGAATGAATTTAAATTGCCCTATTATCTTAACATAATGTAATGCACCAAGTTTTATTGTGAAAGGCAATAGAACAAGGCCCCAAAAATACTTTTCCTGCAAGATACACTTTATAACTAAACATATTCTATCTCAACTTCTATTCCAGCCCAGGAAGGAAAGAGATTTCTGCCACTAACTTAAAAATGACAGTATGTTTCTGCAAGCCCAAACTGTTAGACCAGATAAGGAAGACCTGAAGAAGTATATTCCATTGAGGAAAGCCCTGGCAATTGTTCAGATTACCCAAAGAATATTTTGATATCTATCTACCTGCCAAAAGGACAGATTAAGGTGCCTTAACACTTATTGCTTTCTCAAAAATAGCTGTCCTAATCATGAAAAGCTGTGTATCATGGAGATATATTGACCAGACACTCCTGATGAGTGCTATACAAGGTACAATAAACATTTTCAATCAAAACTCACAGAAGCTTTAAAGTAAATTTCATTCCCATAGATCATATGCATGGTCCTCACACATTCTATGCTAAACAGTAAGAACATCCTCACCAAGACTTCACATCAACTAATGAAGAAGAATAACAGAAAGGTCAAAGACGTTACAAAAAGCAATAATGACAAATAATAGCTAGATCTGGGTTTAAACTGACCTCTTAAAATAAGAGATACTTGATTGCTTAGCAATTCTAATCACCTTGATTTTCCCCTTACGCTAACCTCGTTTTTCCTGGATTAAACTCATCTGATTTTATATCAGAAGAATAAAAACAGAAGTAACCGCTCATTTCCTTTAAAATACCCGTTAATTTATTTCTTAGTTATTTTTCCTGCAGAAACAGGTGCAGCGTAATAAATATGAATAAACCTTACCGTGTGTAAGGACAACATGCCCTCTAGAGGCTACAAATAAACCAGACGTTTCCAGAACCTATTTCTCAATTTAAGTAGAATTCAGTAATACTTGAACTGCAGGCAAAAATGCCTTCATTCTGGGAAATCCTTGACTTTTTTTTCTACTCTCAGCTCCTAATCACCTTCAAATAAAAATAAGGCTGAAACTCCTAGCAAATATGGAATAGTTGTTACGTGCAAAGCTTATTTATATACACACAACCCTCTACCCCTCAGATATACATATATATACATGCATACATACATATATGTTTTGATGTATAGAGGAGGCTGAGGAGGAAAACCTATCTGTCTCCTACCTATTCCAGCTGTTCTGTATAGTTTTCCGAGTCCCCATTGTTCCTTTTTCCAAGGAAGAGAGTGCGCCCAAGGCAGACCATCTAACTTCCTAACAGTAGCTCCTGTCACCAGGCCAACCGCTGCCTTTTGAGGGAGGGCAGGGCGTTATGACCTTCTGAAAGAACCTTTCATGTTGGGTAACAGGATGTGAAAAGTACTGTTCCTTCAGGTTTGTTTTGTCCACCAGATCTTGTATGAGTTACTTCTTTGATATACTATTTGTAAGATTTTATGATTACAAGGAGATGCGTTTCACAGCCTTCCCTTTTGATTTCATCAGTTTTATGGCAAAAAAAAGAAAAAAAAAAGGGGGGAATTTTGGTGATGTGCAATTTTTTTCTTTCTCCTGTAAGTGCAAACAATATTGTACTGGTAGAGCAGCTTGTAAGCCACGGAATCCATTTGCCCACTATAAAAGATCATGTCATGTAGTCTCACTCATAAATTCATCAAACTTCATTTTAAAACTAATTAAGAGAGGTTTCTCGATTTGGGCTCAGCACCCTGTTAAATGTTTATGGCCTCCAGCTTGGGAATGGCTTGTGTGCAACCAGCTTAGTGACAGTATAGATCAAGTCTGTGTGCATATGGTCAACCAGATAGATCCTCTCTGAGGGCTGCTGGGAAAAGGAAAAACATGACTGGGAAAAGGAAAAATGTGACTGAGATGTTGAGCTTGAATTAAGTGACCCTGTGTTAAAGAACTGAAAACAAAACCTCAAGGAAAAGAATCCCTGAGGAATGTAGGTTGAGTGTGTTGACAGGGTGGACTGGATTTTTTTTCTCTTTAAATGAATCCATCACTGATAAAGCACTAGCTCACAAAATCCCCATATTTGTAATGAGGTTCCTGCAAATCTATCTTAATACCAGATTAGGTATGCAGATCCTCTTTCCAGTACGCACGCCTGTAATAAGATGTAGCTCTTTGAATTCTTGCACACATATAAAGGACAATCATCAGCGTTCATTTTGTACAGAAATTCCCAGATTTGCACACCACATTCTCAGAAACATAAAATACTGCAAAAAAATTTTACATGCATCCATAAGCAAATCCATCAGAGCTCAGGAACATAAATATAGGCTCTTCTAAGCAGACTTGACCTAAAATGTTTGCAGGATATAAGAAACATACTTATTTTAGCCAAGCCCAAACTGTTTATCTTTACTGGCTTACAGGGATATGCAGTGTATTTAAGGCAAAGACTTGCATGAACTATGCAAACAACCAGAAAGCATTAAGCTAAAAATAATATACATTCACTTTAAAAGCAGATTTTGGATACGAAACAGGCTCCAAGATATACTGTACAACATAGGGAGTAAGCAAGCTACAGATACATCATAATCATAATTAATCATTTGAGCTTCCATAATGCCTCTTATCCCATGATCTCAAAATTCCTTAATGGCACTGATTGATTAAAGATGAAAGCATTCTTTTGAGACAGGCTATGGATATAAAAAACATTTCACACACTGAAATCAAGAAATCTCTTGTACAATAGTTGTTGCCATGCATGACAATTCCTAAAAACAGCTTCGAGAAGAAAAGAAGGATCTCATACCTAGGTAAAATTTTAACTGGACAAACAGTTGCCATGCATGACAATTCCTAAAAACAGCTTCCTAGGTAAAACAGCTTACCTAGGTAAAATTTTAACTGGACAAACGGTAGTTATGCTTCTCTTCATACTTCAAAAAAAAAACCTGGCTAATGGCAGTCTGAGGAAGAAAACTTCCACCAGGATCAGCTAACTAAATTTCCCACATAAAATTATCAGATTACTTCGCTAAAGAGTGAAATAAAAAATTGGTATCTAATAGTCAAATACCTTAGGTCCTCGCTGCCTTGTGCATTTTCCCATTAGTTTTTCATCATCTATTTCACACTGCTCCAGAAGATCCAAAATGTCCTCCTCCTACAAATGGGAATTTCACTACAATTAATTCAAAGCAGGACATATCCTATCCTTCCAAACTTCAAGCACCAACTGGTAGGAATCTGAAATTACTTTGATTACTAATTCCTGAAATAAGACTCTGAATCCCTCCACAGGAGTATATAAAAGTATTTCTTCTGATGCATGCAGCTCTGCTTGCAATCAGCATGAAATTGAAAGTTAAAATCAAGCCTTAACATCTATTAAGGATAAAAGTCCAAAGTAAGGGTTGAACAAAGATTCCTGTAAAACTGCTGGATGATGCCAACTACAAAGATGAGAAATTATTTCTCAGATTTCAAATTAAATCATGTTTGTTAGTTATTTTGAATGTAGCCATTTTCCAACTGTTTATCTCTGAGGACACATGTAGGCAATCAGGCAGAGGTTTTGGATGCCTTAAACAAGTGGAGCTGGTTTTATGATATCTCTCATTCCAGTCCATAAAAGTGGATGAATAGGCTGGGGACATTACTGGAGGAAGGAGATGGCAATTACCAGATCAAAAGCAGTTTCTGCTGACCTCTGGTTTGGCCAGGGGTAAAGCTGAGGATCAGGGAAATGGCAAAGTGGCTTAAAGCCAGCTAGCCTGTCTCCACCCTGGGCCTACCACAGTTCATCCAGATTCAGGGATCTGGCCCACAAGCTGTACAAAGAATAATAATAAAATGATGGAAACATTATCAAGTTCTCTTTATTAGCCATCACACATGATTATTGTGAAACTAATCCACAAGGCCATGAATTCCAAGACAACTCCTAAAGCCAATACTTCTTGTGCTTCAGTACCTTCATTCTTTTTAAAGGGTTATTCATTTCCCGTTGAAGTGAAGCTGCCCTCCCAGCAAGAAATGTCTGGAAAGCAGTGGCTAACAAACTCTCATACTTTTCAAGTAATGTCTTATCATCAGGAGGGTAAATTCGCCTAAAATAGGGGGAAAGAAAAAAAAAAAAAGTTTAAGATGGAAGCTGAGCACTTATCACACTAGGAACAAAAGTAATACAGCTAATTCAGTTTCTTCTGCAATGCGTATGCATCCCATCTATAATAATTATATCATGTCATAAAACATATACTCTGAACATTGCTCTCTAAATCTAATTTTAACTCAGTGAACACATTCATGTTTAAACCAGCAATTAGCCAGTCAAAAGAAATACCATGCAGGTCATTCCAGAGACATACCAAAATTCAGTTTTGCAGTACACTGAAATTTCAGTGGGAGTGAGTGATGCATGCAGGTGTGAATGATTCATGAAATATTAACAAAATATTGCATGTAAAATTCAGACCCACAAAATAATTTGTATTAGCAATAAAATGACACAAAACTGTGAAAAACTGAACAATTGCTTTGAGTTAATGGGTGTGATGTAAATTAAAGACTGAATGTGTACTGCACTGGAATGCTAAATCCTCCAAAATAATAAACAGGAAGAAACAGATACTATAAGAAAAAAAAAATTCTGGTAGACAGATGTACAGGATGATTTTCCATTAGAGCAGCTATGCCATTATTCTCTAAAATCACAGGTAAGGAGATTATGACAACATGAGAAGCAGGACTTGGTGATTTATTCATGCTCATCAAGCAACAAAGGGCTTTGAAGAAAACCACTCCGATGCATTCGTCATGAAACACAGCCAGGAATGATGAAGGTGGAAGACTAATTTAGAATGTATTGTAAGGAGTAATCCATAAGTTAATTCTGCCTGCACTGTACAAAGTATCGGTACCATTTATATAGTGACTGGCATTATGTGACTTTTATGGTTTTTTGTAGATCTTTTGTGAACTTTTTGCAAGGTTCTTTCTCCTTCTTCCTTTTCAGTCTTTTCCTCCTTGAAAAGCTATCTTTCATGATGACTTTGTTGCCATGAAAAAAGGATGGTTATGATCCCCATTAAACTCAGGGCAGTTCTACAGCAAACTGAAGACGGTTCTAGTTTGCATAGAATAGCTGTAGGAGCTCTAATCTAGTTGCAGTCAACACTTTTTAAGGGTGTCAATTCTACTGCTGAAAGCATGCCATAGAACAATACTTTAAATAAATTATATTCATTTCAATATATGTAGAAATGGCTCCTACTTTGCCCACCCCAGGACTTCTACTGGAATCAGTGGGCTAGTTGTGCTTGCAGACAGACACTTGACTAAGCCAACTGCTGAACTTGACATCCATAGATTGCATCAAAGCCTGCTGAGGTGGATTGAGGTTTCCCTGAATTTTTATTCAGAAAGCAATACTAATTCATGCAGCAATACTGGCACCCAAAATTTCCAAGATTCTATAGCAATGCCTGACAGAAGCTAGCCCTGCTCTGCCGGAGAACATCACAAGGAGAAAATGCAACACTCAGATAAAATTTCTCTGCATCTCTAGCCAAGATTCCTTTATTTCTTGGGCTCTGCTGATTCTTCAGCCTTTTTACAAACACATGGTAACATGAAAACACAAAGCTGTTCTGCCCTTTTACACGTGCACATTCCGCACGAAATGACATTTCACTTTTTCCTGAGAAAAAAATATTTTTGTTATTTTTATTAATTTACATTAACCAAAAAGCTAAATAAAGAGACTATTTGGCTCATTTTCAGTCAAGAACTGAATAAGCAACCTAAAATGTGACCAGTTAAAAAGTTAAAGTTATTGAAAAAGCAAAACATGTTACAGCATCATGGTGTTTCTTTAGTCTAAGTAGCATGAAAATAACTGCTTCACTGTGGGGTCTTTCAGCTCCGCATATGCCAATAAAGGATGTAATTAAAGCTGGGAATGTTACAAAGAAAGACTTTTTGTAAGCAAAATGTTAATTCATCAAAAATGAAAATTTCACAGAAACATCTATCTGTTTAAATGAGAACTTTACTGGGAATTATAGAACATATGCTCAAAAAAGCCGAGATGAAGAACAGCAGTAAAGGCGTTCTGACTAATTCAGAATAAAAGATGTGAACGCAGACCTCCCACATCCTGGATGAATGTTATAAAGAGTGGGCAAATGCTCCCATCATCTCTTCCTAGTTGTACTCCACTCCCTTTCGCCAAATATTCATAGGTCTTGCTTTAACTTCTCATTGAAGCAGATATCAAGAAATAGTAACAATGAAAACACCAAAAACCAAAACTCTTGTTTTCTGGCCAATGCCTATTATAACCAACAAGTTAGAACTCCCTTTGGAACATATTTTACCAAGAAATATGAAGATACTTATGTTTAAGCCTACTAAGATCCAAAATCAAAGTGCAGAAATCTGAATATAGTATTTCAAATGCCATTCTATCAACAATTATGGAAGCGCCAATAGATTTTCTAACCTTTTGGCAAGCCTCATAGATAACATTCAGATTTGATTTTTTATAGGGGAATACTCAGATTTGATTTTTTTAATAAGGGAATACTCATACCCCTATATTGTCCCCTCTTAGGGATAAAAATCATCATATGTGATTACAGAACAGGTCCATAATGACAGTCATGGCTCTTGGTACACTGACTGTGAACAATTGTCTTTTAAGCAAATGTCTTGCACAAACACTGGAGTGACTGATGTCATATAAATTCCTAAGTGCAAGCAAAAATTTGGAATCAAAAAAAGAATGATCTGAAAAAACACCTCTACTACCTGGTACACACACATTTACTTTCTATAAATGCCTACACATTTTTGGCAGAAAATTATCATCTACCATAAATGCCTGTTTCCATTATTCCTAAAGAACACATTGAATTCTTCTTGCTAATACAGTCAAAAATAGGTACCTGTAGTTCCCCATGTGTCTATTTTCATGCTCCTCTTTGGAAATCTGTTTACGTACTTGTGCAAGTCTTTCCTTCTACAAATCAAGAAAATAAGACAATTAAAACAAAGAGAGCAGAAGCCATGGGCAAGAAACAGCACAGTTTTCCTTCCTACCAGTTCTTCTTTTCTCCTTTCCAGTGTGTGGCGCTGCTTCTCCCAGTCTGAGGAACCTGGCAACAGTTTTTTCATTGAACCTTGACCATACAGTCGTTTTTGAGCCTCAGCCTTCTGTTGAGCTAAATTTCTCCTTTTATCACTTGTCCTGAAACACAGATGATATTAAGATACATCGATCCCATGCAGCTGAGATGAGATGCGCTTTCGTCTCAAGAATATCACCTGTATTTTTCAGTCAGTCATGCGTAGTTTATGATATAAAGTTAGAATTGAAACACTCATTAAGAATTTTTTTAAAATATCAACTTTTATGGCTACAATATTTTCACACTTTAAGGTGTACTGTAAAAACTCTGTACTATAATTTAATGCACAAACATGGTTGTATCTGTTTTCCCAAATTGTAAATTTTCTCCAACATATCCCAACTTTTCCTTTAGAGGGGTATGGCTTTTGACTGTATGTGAAACTATCACCAAAGCAAATTTACTGTGTGGCCACGTGCCCATGACTGCACTCATATCCCCACTTAGAAACCTGTTTGAAAAATCATTTAAAAAAAAAAAAAGTACAGAAGTTACTATTACCACTCTTTTTTTTTGCAAGCACATGAGCAAGAAGAAAAATTAAATTTGGGTTAATTTCTATAACAAAACTGACAGCACGGGAAACATTTACATTTTCAAAAGATGAAGGTGGGAAAAAAAAAAAAAAAAAAAAAAAAGGGTTTTTTTTCCCTGGCCCAGTATATTTTTTTCCGATTCCAGAAAAATAAAAAAAAAAAAAAAAAAGCAACAGAAAGAGAGCCAGACTGAAGAAAAGAGGAGAAGTTTACCGTATGTTGAGAAGCTTTAATGCATTTAGCAAAACACCTTTTTTTACATCATAGTCTATTTTTTGATCAGTTCCAAAGCTTGGGGCACGATTAATCTGGAAAAAAAAAAAAGAGATACAGAATACTCAGGAATGTTCACCTTCACTGGGAACACACGTATTGTAACAGGCTTTAGAGAAACCATTCTTTCAGATATAGCAGAGATTAAGAGAATACCTGTTGAGAAGCTCATTTCCATTTGTATTTTTTAAAAAATAGAGCATTGAGTATCACAGATACTGGGAGGCAGGAGATGTAACTTTCAACCACCAAGTTATCCAGACACAGTGAACACTGTTCAAGTAGTGGCACTGTAAATCCAATTTAATCTAACTCTTGGTTGCTGCAACCAGAAAAATGTACCATGCAAAGTGCTGTTAAACACATTATAACAGACTATGTGCCATGCTGCGGTAGTCCAGCACAGGAAGAGTTAAACTCTTTCCTAGTTCCCAGTCTGAAAGCAACTTTGAATACTCTAAAAAGTAAAAAATATATAAGGATAGAAAGAGGCTATAATGCAAGGTCTTCTGGAGTATATGTAAGTAACTATTCAGGTACACTTTACAGCAACACCTAGAGATGTAAGTTATTAAATCTGCACGTAGTGTGAAAACATAAAATAATTAACAGTCTCTGTAGCAAAAAGCTTATAAGCTACGTACAAGATGAGAGATATAAAATGTTGCCATAAATGTAGAGGAACAAGGGAAACACAACTGGGAATCAGCGAGACTAAATCACCCGCCTCACAGCCAGGCTTCTCAACCAAGCACCGTATAACCACTGCCAAGCTTGCAGCCCCTGCGGAAGAACGCCAGCTTTTGGAAAGCGTTAGGGAGGGATAACAAAGTAGCTGCATCAGCATTTCTAGGAACACCTTCCATGCTGGTATAAAAATTTATACATGAGCAGTGGGTGCTAACGAGAGGCGGGAGTCTCCCCTGACAGTGAACAAGCAGCACTGATCACAGAAGGGACAGACATAAAGAGCTTCAGAAGTGAAAACTAATACCCCGTGCCCCATGCAAATAAGAAGTAGGATACAGAGTATCTTCAGAGCAGAGGGCAAAACCAGTTCATTAAATCTGCGTTTGAACACTTTTGATATATTAGAGCATCATAGAGCCTCTACCGTTGTGAGATAAAGGATTATCTGGCTGGTGAGCCACCACAACTTTTATGGCTACAATAGTTTCACACTTTAAGGTGTACTGTAAAAACTCTGTACTATAATTTAATGCACAAACATGGTTGTATCTGTTTTCCCAAATTGTAAATTTTCTCCAACATATCCCAACTTTTCCTTTAGAGGGGTATGGCTTTTGACTGTATGTGAAACTATCACCAAAGCAAATTTACTGTGTGGCCACGTGCCCATGACTGCACTCATATCCCCACTTAGAAACCTGTTTGAAAAATCATTTAAAAAAAAAAAAAGTACAGAAGTTACTATTACCACTCTTTTTTTTTGCAAGCACATGAGCAAGAAGAAAAATTAAATTTGGGTTAATTTCTATAACAAAACTGACAGCACGGGAAACATTTACATTTTCAAAAGATGAAGGTGGGAAAAAAAAAAAAAAAAAAAAAAAAAGGTTTTTTTTTCTCAAAATAAAAAAAAAAAAAAAAAAGCAACAGAAAGAGAGCCAGACTGAAGAAAAGAGGAGAAGTTTACCGTATGTTGAGAAGCTTTAATGCATTTAGCAAAACACCTTTTTTTACATCATAGTCTATTTTTTGATCAGTTCCAAAGCTTGGGGCACGATTAATCTGGAAAAAAAAAAAAGAGATACAGAATACTCAGGAATGTTCACCTTCACTGGGAACACACGTATTGTAACAGGCTTTAGAGAAACCATTCTTTCAGATATAGCAGAGATTAAGAGAATACCTGTTGAGAAGCTCATTTCCATTTGTATTTTTTAAAAAATAGAGCATTGAGTATCACAGATACTGGGAGGCAGGAGATGTAACTTTCAACCACCAAGTTATCCAGACACAGTGAACACTGTTCAAGTAGTGGCACTGTAAATCCAATTTAATCTAACTCTTGGTTGCTGCAACCAGAAAAATGTACCATGCAAAGTGCTGTTAAACACATTATAACAGACTATGTGCCATGCTGCGGTAGTCCAGCACAGGAAGAGTTAAACTCTTTCCTAGTTCCCAGTCTGAAAGCAACTTTGAATACTCTAAAAAGTAAAAAATATATAAGGATAGAAAGAGGCTATAATGCAAGGTCTTCTGGAGTATATGTAAGTAACTATTCAGGTACACTTTACAGCAACACCTAGAGATGTAAGTTATTAAATCTGCACGTAGTGTGAAAACATAAAATAATTAACAGTCTCTGTAGCAAAAAGCTTATAAGCTACGTACAAGATGAGAGATATAAAATGTTGCCATAAATGTAGAGGAACAAGGGAAACACAACTGGGAATCAGCGAGACTAAATCACCCGCCTCACAGCCAGGCTTCTCAACCAAGCACCGTATAACCACTGCCAAGCTTGCAGCCCCTGCGGAAGAACGCCAGCTTTTGGAAAGCGTTAGGGAGGGATAACAAAGTAGCTGCATCAGCATTTCTAGGAACACCTTCCATGCTGGTATAAAAATTTATACATGAGCAGTGGGTGCTAACGAGAGGCGGGAGTCTCACCTGACAGTGAACAAGCAGCACTGATCACAGAAGGGACAGACATAAAGAGCTTCAGAAGTGAAAACTAATACCCCGTGCCCCATGCAAATAAGAAGTAGGATACAGAGTATCTTCAGAGCAGAGGGCAAAACCAGTTCATTAAATCTGCGTTTGAACACTTTTGATATATTAGAGCATCATAGAGCCTCTACCGTTGTGAGATAAAGGATTATCTGGCTGGTGAGCCACCAACTGTCCCATGGCGGAGTCCCAGCTGCCCCATCACTTATGCTCACAGCCGAAGGGTACCTCTTGGTTTTGAGAACTACCTTGTTTGCTGGTTTTGCAGACAGGCTGGCAAAGTGAGCAATGAGATTTGATGTTGAAAGAAAAATCAAACAAATTCATCAGAAATGGTGAAAAAGTGTGTACATATTCTTTTTTGGAAGACTTTCATCCAAATATTTAATTGGCCAACCACCTTAGACTGACCTGTTTATCTCCTATCACATCAAAGGCTCAATATTTTTTTTTCTCTCTACTGTTACAGTACAAACATTTATTGACATTCATTTTTTTTAAATGTGAATGTTCCACTTTCAGCTAAACAAACATGTAAACATTCAGAGAAACGAGGATTAAAACCCAGTTCTCCAAGGTTTCATTAGAGAATGCTGGCAGTTGACAAGACCACAGGCACATTGCATCTCATTTTCAACAAGAAGCTTAAAAAAAACCCCACTTTAACTAGAGCTGCATTGATTAAATACAGCTGATAACTGAAATAAGTTGGAAATACTCTGATTTTGAGATATTGTATTATCTAATCCAGGAAGGATTTATGTATTTTTAAAAACAAATGCCTAAAGATCCAATATGGAGCGTTATGCTTCAGTCCAGCAAATACCTAAGTACACAAAAAGCTCACTGGACTGAAAACAGAGACATAAAATCAAGCCCCAACCCCTTATTCAGGAGAAATGGTAGGTATTGAACAAAACTACATTCTCTACCATGTTCAAGAACTAACAGCAGCAACTAACAATATTCTACGCCAAAATAATGTTTTTGCATGCATTAAAGATGGGTGAAGAGACAAATATATTTATTGAAACTTCCAACAACTTAATCTCTAATTTTTTATATACACCAAATCCTCAAATCCAGTGCGACTACAGTTAGATATGAGGACTTATTTGGAACATGTAAAATACTACCTCGGTCCAACACTGAATTCGTAGAAATGCACAGACAAATGCTTACACAGCACTGAAGCATCCAATTTGAGAGCATACAAAAGCGTACATTCTTGTATTTATATTTGGTTTAGGTACTTCCTAGATTTAAAACAACTTGAAGTAATACTGGGCATAAATTCTGCATTAATAAAAATGTTATAAATATCTGCTACTTGTATGAACACCAGTGAAAATTAACGCTATGAAAAGTGTAAAATAATTTAAATAACAGTTTCTCTCCTACAGGGTGAATTTTGCCAAAAATCTACATCTGGCACTTCTGAACAAACAAAACCATGCTGACTGTGTTTATTAAGCAGAAAATTAAAGTGGGGGTAGGAAAGACGTAAGAAGGGATTTGAAATGCTATTACGAAGCAAAATGCTATTATGAGACATTACACAATCACTCCACCCTAAGGTTTCTGTCGCTTTAATGCAGTTCTTTCTCCCCAAATATCTGCTTTATTGTGGATGATACCTTAGCATCTTTACTTTCTATGACTTTTCAATAGCTGTAGCACTGAATTGTCCGTGTAAGTCTTTCATTCCTCCAACTGAAATCTTCAACCTTGGTTTCATAACCAAAATTTCACTGAATATAGCACATGCAATTAATCAAACTGCTTATAAGCACAGCAGTTGTGTAGCTCAGTGTTTTTCATAATTACATTCTTGTCAGCAGAGGACCTCATATCTGCAATGCTTAAATTAAGCAGCAAAAGTTGAAGTACCTCCTGTGAAGGCTCCCATCCCCACTTACATTTGCAAAGGATTTTGATTTTAGGAAAATTAAACTCTGTAAATGTGTAAGATAAACCATTTTCTTCACCAAGATATAAATTTCAGCCCGGCATTTCACCTCTTCAGCAAAACACTCAACGAGCATACTCTCACCTCCCACTGCTGCAGCCTATTAGTATGGAGGAGGAAAAGGCATTTTCTGTCGCACATACCTGTTGAAAAGACCTTTCAAATATAAGGAGAGATTACACGAACAACTTTATAAACCTAAAATCAATTGAACAGAATATTACATCTTTTCAATAACAGGGATTTAATCTCTGTTCAATCTGTAGGACAGCCTGAATGTTTTGGAAGGGATCTCATTCTTTATTAAAGTGACTGAGACTGCTAACAATAGAATTCAAAAAGCAAAGCAAACTCATAAGCCATAAAAGTCCTATTACACAGAATGCTGGTAGTGGCTATCATTCAGCAGATCTTCGATTAGAGACAATCACAAAGTCCATTCTAATCACTCATTTCACAAATTGTGAGCATTAGCCCCCTTTTGCTTAGCTTAAGCGGAAGGCTGGTTTTCCACAGCAGTTTAAACTAACACAAATCCAAGCTGCCAAACTCTGCCTACTTCATTGTCTTGGCACTGGGGTTCACGGAGAGTGAGGAAGCTGATTCCCAATCATCCACACAAAGATTAACATCATGAAAAATTATTTTCCATTGGTCCTTGACCATCTTGGGAAGGAATCCTACAAGCACCAGTCCCATCACAGGGAAGGGGGCAAGGAGCGTGCCTCCAACGAAGAACAGGGGGAAGGCAAAGATCTTGCAGCCGGCACATTGATCAGTTTAAGCACCACAGAAGCGCCTCGTACAGGTGCAGTGGCACATTTAACCTAGTCCAGCCTGACTGCCGGCTGCCAGAAAGGACTGGTGCTGCCCCTCTCTTCGTCCTCTCGCTTCCCTCTTCCCTGCACCAGACCAAGCGTGGTAAAGCCCCTGTGCAAGGAAGTTCTGCTGACTGATTCAGTGTAAAATTATGGTTTGCTTGGAAAGGTAAAGAAGACATTCATCCAAAAAGCAACCAGAAACGTCTCATCCAAAAGACATGGCCACCAGATAGAGGCAAGTTGCTAGACCAGCTCTTTGGGCAACTGCCCACAGCAACACCGTATTAGATGTTAAATCAAACTGCAGTCTTTTTCACTCTTTATTCACTGGAAAAGTGGGAAGAGTAGGAGGTACTACTGAAGGCAAATATTGAGCCAGTTAAAGCCATCTGTGCTTAGAGGATTCAATGCTACTGTTTGAGAGCAAAGAGAACCCATGTGCAAGCATCAGAGAGAAGAAAAAGCCAGCAGACAGCAGGAGAAAGAGCCCCAAAAATGGCTCTCCAAGGCAACAGGGGGAGAGGCTGCCAGGGCACAAAAATCACTGAAAGGAAGGCTTCTTTGTTGTAAATAAAATTGAAAAGAAGGAAAGGATTGAACCAATGAGCTAGACGAATAGTCTCATCAGTTGCTCTTCCTAATGGTAACTGGAAGGGTTCTGAATTTTGCTAAAGTCTTGGATCAAAGGGCAACTGAGCTTTTACAACTTTTCTTTTATACATATGTATATATACACTCATCACGAACTGAGCTTTTACAACTTTTCTTTTATACATATATATATATATATACACTCATCACATAACTGAAATGCTGACCTTGCTGAAGACCATGGGAGGGCAGCATTAACGGCGCTCTCCGCTCACTGAGCTTGCTGAAGACCATGGGAGGGCAGCATTAACGGTGCTCTCCGCTCACTTACTGATCGCTAATGCCTATGCACCGCTCCTTTGTTAACACTGCCTCAGCGACTGATACAGAAGTGCTGTGCGAAACACATACAGTTTGCACTGAAGGGCAGGAGTAAAACAGGTGCTCTCTGTTGCAAACCTATAAAGAAAATAACTTGCTCCTTTCCAAACTTCCAATAAGCTGCAACAGAGGTTTTCAGAAAATGTTAGTTAAATCAATGAATATTTGAAAAATCCAATGCTTTTAGAGAGGTGTATTTTCAAGTTTCGTTATGTTTTTACAGATTCTTGTGAGTAGAAGAATGGGAATTTGCCATGCTTAACATTTATATTTACAAAGCTCTGAATTCCTTTCTTAAAGTTATTAACTACTCATTTCTGGATATAATGTTAACAATTCTACTTTACACAGTAATATAACTATTGTAATATCGCTTTTCATACTACTCTTATTTGGACTTGAAGTCCATATATATATATAAAAAAGCATATATATATATATAAAAGCATATATATATAAGCAAGACACTGAAGTGAGAAGTGAGCCCTTCTCAACAGCGTAACAGGCGGCTCACCCTGACACCAGAGATTGCTGGACTGTGATTCAGTAAGAAACAACGTGAACTCTCAGGTTCTCTACCTATTCTAAATAAGCTGAAATTTGGTTTACAACATTTTTATGTATTTTGAAACATGCCAGAAAATAGAATACTTTGAATTTCTCTTCTGTTCAGAGAAAAAGAAAACCTCATGGTCTCCCCAGTAGATATTCATGTAATAAATACACATACTCTTGAAATGGCAGTCCAAGAGCTGTGCCTGATCATGTAAGGTGGATGCTTCCTTTGGACAGAATGGGTTTAAATCCTCTTAACTTTTGTGACTGTTAAGAGCAATCTGAATATCACAGGGGATGGTCTATACCTGAAAAAATTACTCAAAATGTTGTCCATCCACTGTTTTAATATAATCCATGTGCTCTCTAAAAAGCTGACATGATACGCAACTGGCAGTTTTGGTTTGTTTGGGGTTTTATTACAGTTCTAAATTATAAAGGAACAATGGCCAGCCCCATAGTAAAACCCGAACGGGGTTATATCTGTGTGGAAACCACAGGGGCATAACAAATTTGGGTGTCCACAATGCCAGTTCAGTTACTTTTCAGATGAGAATCTCACCTCAACTTCTTTGTACGAAGAAAAGTTTAAGCTTTTTCCCCTTGAGAAGTAATTTGCAGCACATTTGCTTTGCAGAGTCATCTATGTGCATTTATCAGAGCATCAAGAGACACATTTCCCTATTTCAAAACAAGAGCAGAAATCCCAAAAGATTACACAGGAAGCTTTTCATGTTACTCATGTAAGGGGCTAAATACTGGCTATATGGGACAAAGTGTCTTGCTCTGCCAAATGTGATCCTGGGTGACAAATCTTTAGAAGTCTTGGGCAAAAACACTATGTTAAGAAAATTGCTTTTTCCTTAAAATATCCCTTAAAAGAAAGTACTGTCCCTTATTTTTCATGTGACCATCCCTTGTTTCCAGACAAGAAGTATGGTTGCTGACTAACCTGTGAGACAGTGGTGTTGTAAAGTAATCCTGATAAGGCACCAGTCATACTGTCACAATAGGTATTCATAGTCACTCGTTACCAAAAGCATGACATGTGTGTCTGTCTGCCAAGAGGCAATTATTTAGAGTTCAATGACCCAAGAACCAGGACATACACGACTAGGTTGCGTTAATACGGCATCAGTAATTTTATCAGGAAGGCACATCTTAAAGATTGTTGGCAGAAACAGGATTGTATGAGGGGCCCCAAAAGTTCAAGCAAATGATGATAGCGAAGGCCTGAAAATTTGGAGACTCCAAGATATACAGCGATGACAGTGGCCAAGTGGTGTTCACTACAGGAATGCGACCTTGTGAACTAGGTAACAGAGGGTTTCAGGATAACAAAGAGAACACGGAGCAGAATCCAGGAAAAGTAAAACAAACCACTTATGGTAAAACTTGGAGACAACGCAAAATTGCTGGCCAGTGAATGAACAGTCAGTAAGTTGACAGTGGCAGCAAATGAATAAAAACAACCTTAAGTGAAGCTAAGAGCAAAGACCCTGACAACTTGCTATAACCACCTACCCATCTTTTTTTGGAGAAGTAGACCTCTCCTGCCCCTTGTTGGCCTTTGTATCTCCAGGGGCACAGGTAGGGTAAGCGTAAGACAAGAGAAAGGAGTAGGTACCAGAAAGCTTGCGTATGTGAACCTTAACTACTTTATTAATGTGAATTAGCAATAATTGGATACTTTGGCCTAAGATGTCCAAAGTCCTTTTAACTGGGCAGATAACAAAGTTTTGAACAGACTTTGCTAGTTCAGTTACACTAAATAATAAATTTGTGGATCTGTATATAAGGTGAGCTTCTCTCACCTATGTAAATCACAAGGGAAGTTGGGTACCCTGCACTTGAGGCAGTTACTAAAATGTGATCTCTTTCTCCAAGGGTCACAACTTTGTGATCCCAACTGGGTATAATGAGGTTGAACAAGGCTGGAGTCCATCCAAGAACTTCAACTGTATAATTTTCCGATGTAGATAAAGTAACCGAGCTTGGAAATTTTGGTCAAAAAGAGTAAAACTGGATTTCCTGGGAACTGAAGGGAGGTCTAGGTAGTTGTTGCTATTCAGAAAGGATGGAGGCTGCTGGGACTGCACAGATGCTTGCCGGAAACATTTGGTGCCACAAGATGGCAATCACGCATTTCCCACAGCCCTCTCTTTGGTGGAAGGTTCCGGAAGTTCAGTAGCATCAAGGACCAGGAGAGCTACATCGCATCAGGGCAATATAAACAAAAGTCATCTCAGGAAAGCAGTCTCATTATAACATTGCACAATTTATTTCTTACAAGAGTGTATTAAGCTATCTTTATAACAGAAAAGCTACATGAGCTACGGAAACATGAAACTAGATTTACCATCCTAATCCTATTTTGGCAATTTTCCCATACCACTGGGAACATTCGGAGCCTTGTGATTAGTACTTGTTACCACTGTTAGAAAGAATGATTCACCTCCCCTAAGGGGGGTTTGGCAAGAGGGAAACAGTGGAAAAAGATAAAAGTGGAAAAGCTGGGGAAGAAGCCAGAACTGGTTCAGGAAAAAAAAGAAGTTATGTATAGATATACACACACACACTGTATATATATTATATATAGTGTGTGTATATATACACACACACACACTTATATTTGATCTTTACGACACTACATATACTATACATACAGTGTATAGATATACACACACACACTGTATATATATTATGTATAGTGTGTGTATATATACACACACACACACACTCATATTTGATCTTTACAACACTACATATACTACACATACAGTGCGCATACATATACATACTGTGCATTTGTTCTGAGAGTGCTGCAAAAAACATGAACAAGCACAGTAAAATTTAGTGGATGAGTACAGAAACTGAATTACTAAGTTTCAGAGTTTGAAATTTCTGTTAGTTTAGTTCAATGCCTGGCAAAATAAGTCAAAGGATACCTGTATCACCAAAAGCGAAAAATGAAATAATTAAACCTCTGTATTAAAAAAAACCCAAAAAACCCCCAAAAAAACCCCCAAAAAAACCCAAAAAACAGGTACCCAACTCCAAGTCCTGAAGTATTCTCCAGCAACCCAAAATACCAGAGCAGCATTTTCTACTATATAAGATCCCTCCCTCACAAACAAGGCGTCTGGGATAATATGATTCTCCTCTGAGACCCGCTATCATAAATAACAAATCAACCCCCCTGAAGTCTCCACACTGCATGTAGACATCCATGGGCACAGAGGGCTGTCCCTCAGAACGGATTCACTACACAGGTTGATTCACCATCTCTCGCAGAAGCGGTCTGTCACCGTTTGCTACAAGGCTGGATGAAATGCATACGCAGACCTACTTCAGTCTGTACTTAAACAACTACATACGCTCATACACAAGCTACAGGCAACCTATAGATGAAGATCTGGAAGTGTAGAGCTGAGTCAAAGGGAAAGCAAGCTTTGCCAGACAACAATAGAAGATGTCAGTGCCGTACAGGCTCAGTTCATATCATGTGCTGCTTTGGCTAGAACATCAAAGCCAGCAAATATGCCTATGTCTGTGCGGCAACAGTGAAGGAATTTATATTTTTCTAATTAAAATTATACTGAACCCCTGAGAGAAATAAGCACGACAAAGCAACTGTTGACAGTATTAATGACCTGAGAACAAGGTTATAATGCAGTAAATTAGTTGTGTATGCTTTGCTCATCGGTAGCCAGATCATATTCATGATTTATTGTCAATAGAGAGATTTTTAATACATTTTGCTTTTTTCCCCTAGCTGTACAGCCTCCCAACCAGTTAACATAATGATATAATACAATCTGAAAAAAGACAAGTGAACTCCATATATATCTTATTAATAGTGTAATTAAAGAGACACAGTAGACAAACCTCAAACATTCCTGGTTGAAAATGTGTTCAAGCACCACTTAAGCTTAAACATGTCAGAGGAGAAACTTTTCTTCCAGTCCATTCACACCAATTGTTTGACAGCATTTCATGTGTACCGAATTAGTTTCCTCTGTTTATGTGGACGCTTTTAAAAGCCACGGGAGAGGAAAAGAACACATATCCAAAAAAAAAGACAATTAAAACCATACATTCACAGAAGTTGCCAGAGCCTTATACAGACTCATACTCATGAAGGAAATCTATGTAGCACCCACTTGCTATAAACAAGGTCCTTCAGCTACAGTAACAACTGGATTAACATCCATTAACTCATTAAAACATTCAAAAACATCTGAAATGCAACATTCCTCCAGGAAGACAATTACCTTTATCTGAGTCTCCAAAAATCACTGCAAGACAGTGTTTCCATATGGACGCTGCAGAAAAAGCACCATCTGTGTACTCAACAACAGTACCTCCTGCGATGCACGATTTTCTTTGGAAGTTTTCTTACACAGATATGGATTCAGCTGGGGCATAGTTAACTTTACTCTTAAAAATTCAGTTTACATTTGTTTAAAACGGTTTACCTCTAGGAGCCATGGTTTTAGTTTTCTGTCCAGCAGAATATCAAATCCCAGGACTTCAAAGCAGACGCTGTCACTTCCTGGTGCTTGCCCTGGCCTGCACATGCGGTAAGCATGAAGAACATGGGGCTCTGCAACTATGAGAGTCTTCACTACTAACTCCTGTGGGGATTTTTTTCAGAAAAATTCATCAGGAGAAAAGACACCAGTATATATGGAACTAACACGTTTCATACTTTAATCTTTTAAATTTCACTGAAGTATCTACTAAAAAAAATATCTAAAATACCAAATAAATGGTCTATAATAAATAAACTATTCCTATGGAGTAACAGATATATTTGTTTTATATAGCTCTAGAGTATATTGTTATACCTTCCATAGTACACATGTACTTCTAGATATATAGTAACTTAAATGCTAAAGGTACAAAAGGTATTGGGAACAAAGTATAGTATAGCCAGTGTTCACCCATTTCATTTATTTTCAATAAATATACTCAGAATCTTACATACAGATGATGCCTAAACTCTAATAATCTTAGGCCTAATCCTCACCTAAAGACACCTGTAACACAACTACTGACTTCAATGGCACAGGTTCCAGCCCACAGATATATGCAACACTGACTAAAATTTGGTAAATATTCACACATAAAATTCACGTTATACTCTAGAAAAGTCTCCAAGAATTTAAATGGGATGGTTTCTTTGTATCATGTTACTCCTGTGAATAACTCTTTGAAATGGCTTCTGTCCCTCAGAAAAAGTTTAACATTAAATTTATAAACCAAGCCCTGAATTTAGCCTTTTAAAAATCATAATCATCATTTACAATATGTCATTTGTGGCATGCATTGCTGAGAATCTGGATCAATAAACTTGCAAAAACCATTCTGTAGTCCAGTAAGGTGGATGGCAGAAGCAATTAATTTTCTAAGAATACACATACGCAAAATAAAGAAAAGCTTAGTAGTTTTATCTTACTGAAATATCACTCCAGAATTTGGAGACATCAAGATTATTTGTTTCTAGAAACTCAGTAAACCATTTTATGGAGCGCTTGCTTCCTTTGTCTTCTGTTTCATCCCGTTCAAAGTGTTCATTATGTTTATTGACAGAGTAGTTAGTCAGATGCATATACAACTGACTCTAAAAAAAGGGAGAAAAGACATTAGAAAAGCCCTAAGAATGACTCTAGAACAGTCACTTAAAACTAATTTTAAAAAATATGTTAATAATGACATAGCCAAACAGTTCATATTTGCAAATAACACTATGTGCAGATTTAGTGTTCCTGATTCTCAGAGATTTTGTCTGCTGAATGTTCTAGCCTTCTTATAACAAAACCTGTGCTCATATTTAAGCCAGTTGCCATCAACCGATCTACCACTCAACACCTGGCTAGGCAATATATCTGCCATTTTCACAGCTCTGTATGTAAACAACTACCTAAAAAAGTGAACAGCAATTATCGTAACTTACAGAACGATTACATTCCACGAGAATCAAACAATAAAGATGGTATTTTGAAATGCTACTTTAAAAGTGCTAAAAAACACTATGGCATCTGTTTCATAGACAATCCCACATTTCAGTTTTCACTGTAGTTTATTTATGAGAAATGTTCTCATGATAGTGATACTTTAAAATATCTTTCACATATAAACTCATCTGCCACGTTGATATCTGCCAAAATTGCTCATTTTTGACTGGCTGGTAGCCATACATCAGAGGGAGGTAAATTTCAAGACATACGTTATATAAATGAGCGAGTGCTATAGTTCCTTTATGGAGCAAAATGTCACCAGCAATAAATTCATGTTATCAGTTGCATTTAAAAAAAAAAATATTACCTTCCCAAGGCCAATTTATAAATCATGATTTATATGTTTACAGTATCTCCCAGTACAGATACTCATTCAGCTTTCCACCTACACTACCACGATGACCATCCCCATCACAGTGGCAGTTCTCTGTCACGTTTGATTCCTTACTTGAGCATAGCTGATGTTCTAAGCTGACCATAAGCCTTCTGTTCCAATTCCTTTATGATAAGATAGCCGACAGATAACACAAGCCTTCTGCTGTCATTTATCTCACTGCACTTACTTATGTTTAAAAAAAAAACCTTAATGAAAGTAACAGAACCAATCAACTTAACTGCAGGCTAGTTAACAATGTATTGTATTAGCACTACAAGTAATGAAGTTCTCCCATGGCTTCCAATTACTGCTTTGAGAATCATTCTGAAACCTATTGGTTTTGAGTCGTTATAAATGACGTCTTCCCATGAAATTCAAATTATTTCAGACAAAAGCAATTCTTTTTTCAGACTACAAAAAAATGCAAGTGTTTTTAGAACATTTGTTAAACATCTGAACTAATCTTTAGTCTGAAGTTATCTGGAACAATGTCACTGTGGAACAATGTCATCCAAAGAACAACACCGTTAGTGATAAGCCAGGTTATTTCATCCAACAGACAAACTACAACACGAACAGTTGTGAGAACACAGAAACAACTGCCTCTTCTGTTTATCCGCCCAGAGCATATTTCAGTGCTGCTAATGCTGAGATTAGTAACAATAAAAATATTAAAAGCAAACTATTCCAAATATAGTACTGGAACTCTTCCAAATACACCATTTGTACTGGGTTCCAAATTATACCCACATTCTTCAAAGGAGCACTAGGAGACAGTCACAAATTTAAGTGACAAGTAGGGAAAAAGGCTCTCCATGCGTTGCCTGTTGCATAATTACACTGAAGCAGGTCTAAAAGTATATGGCATGAAAAAAAAAAAAAGATACAGTGGCAACAGAGTACAGAGCGAGGTATAAGACACTCAAATCTACTGATGCCTCCCAATGCTTCAAATCTGCATCTTGCTCTGTGCCAGCAGAGAGGGGTTACACCTCCCAGCAGGGGAAGATGCTATACAGTGAACACAAGGATTAGTGTCCAAATCCTTTAGCATGTCCCTTACCATCTCTTGGTTCTCTGCGAGTTTATAGGCAGCCCTGCTGCACCATCCTAAAGTGGTCAGGTACACACTCCTTTCCCTGCGGAAGCAGCCGCTGACAAAGAGCAGCAGACTCCCTCACGTTCAGGGATTGCAGCGACCACTCTCGTGGTCTTTATATCGCTGATTTTCTCTTTTCTGCATAGGTTCCCAACGCAATGGCTGAAACACTGCAGGACCCTCAGCAGAAGCTCTAAGCTTCAGGGGTGTTAAACAATGAGCTAGCAGGAGATAAATCTTATCCTCCCCCCCCACCCCACCCCAAACTGAGTCTCAGATAAATATAAAAGCAATGTAACTGTTCTTTAAGTGATTTTCTTCATTTTTTCTGGGTTGAATGTCAATAATTGACATCTTTTGCTTTCTTTTAGGAAATATTTTAACCCTTTAGCACACATACATGCAAAGTCTTCTAAAAATTTTTAAGCATAAGCAATAATATGGCTATACTTGTCATTTTGATAGAAAAGCATGAGTTTAAATATCTTTCATTTTAATTTTTTCCCTTTGATGACAATACAAAAATTCAGCCAGATGAACACCAAATTAAATATCATGTCACAATTTATTTTATTTTACCTCCTCCGAACACTAAACAGGTAAAACTGCACACACATAAGCAACACACTGGAATGAACTCCAACTTACCAAATTTGAGTCACTGGGGGGATGGTACTTTTCTGTGCCCATTCTCACCAGTCCATCATGATATAAAAATACTTTTAATGGATCACAGGAGGTTACAAGAATATACACACGTAAGTCAAACTTGTAGCCTTCCATAAGAAATGGTTTGTCAAGATATTCCTGAACAATCAAGTGATCCTGAGCTTGTAACTTTTCTCCGTTTCTTATTAAAGAGATCCTGGTAAAAACAGAAGTTATTTTAAAAACATGGAACTTTGACATTACTCTTCAAAATCGATTTTCATGGCCACCCAGCCAGGTAGTCAGGCTAAAGTCTACCTGGAGAAAGAGACTTACATATCTAATTTGTAGGGTAGAGCAAAAGTGCCATTTTCTTACAGGGCTTTTAGTTTCCTGTCCTTTATGCTGCTTCACTGGATTAAAAAGGCAATGAGCCATTTCAAAATAACTTTCTGCTTCCTTTGATTCAACAATTTGTTATAATGAGTTCCCTCTACACTTAGAAATTGTTTGGCAGAACGACCAGTCTCCAGCTTTTGTGATTATTCTTCCCCAACCAGCTCTAAAAATAGGTTTCCAGTCGTCTTTGTCACAACTTCTGCCCGAGGTACAGGTTGCAAAGAACTTTCAGTGCTAACCGGACTCGGTGGTGATGTTCGCAAAGCAGGACACTGATGGGTACAACTAAGGATGGCATAGATTAAGCTCAGTATTTCTGTATTCCAGTTTCTGTACGTCAGAATGAAAAATGGTTTAGACACAGACGATAAACTGGCAGTCCCAAACTACACAGACTTTTAAATAACTGTAATAGCTAATACTTTTTAGTGTATCATTACTAACCCTGAATTCCCATAGCTTTGTTGCCTTCATCTTACCCTCTATTGTTTATGATATATTTCAGTGTTCTGGTGCTGAACACTCCTAATATACTGAAGTACTTTCCAGGCATTTCTCTGAAATATGCTGCTACCTTTCCTTTCAGCTTATCTTTGCCCTTACCAAGAGGACTGAAAAAATAAGGAAATGGAAAAGTTCAGGGGCTCTAATTACACTGTTATGACAAATATATCAGAATTACTAAGAGCTCTACTATACCGTACAATCCAAACTGATACTAAAAGCGATAACAGCTAAAGCTGAAATAGCTCAAAAGAAGAACAGAGTTAAGAATGAAATTGCAATATTTATCTCTTTGGCTTTTACTGTGCAGCCCTATCACAGGCAAAGCCCTTTCAAGTCAACCGCGGGCTGCAGTCGCTGCAGGGTTGTCCCTCCTCCAGCATGGGTGTCACCTCCTTCCAAGAGTGCACCTCCAGCCGCATCCCCAACGGTGTCTCCTCTGTTTCTCCTACACCTCGTGGCTGCCACTCTTAAATATGTTTGTGCATCTCCAACTGGCTGCAGTTTTGGTACGCAATGGGGTGTTTGCGCGGGTTTTGGAGCTCTGGAAGATCCTGACCTTCTCACACACATGACACCCCTGCAGCCCCCAGCCACCAAAACCCTGCCATTTATGCCCAATACAATCTCACCAAGTAAGTAATCTCTCTCCAGTCTTAGTACAACAGCTTAATAAATGTGTTCTTTAGATAAATTCACAATAAAAATACTAGTGATTTTAAGAATTATTTGAGCCTCATCAGAAAATGCATTCTCTATTTATGCCACATTCAGAACATTAAAATACCACTTCCACTTAGCTTTATATTTTAGCCGTTTCTGCTTGTTAAGCCTTCATCCAATACATGAACTTTCTTATATACTGTTCATACAACTTTAACTACAAAATTCTTATTAATATACAGCTTCTGATAATGTTGTAAATAGCACTGGATCTCACCTTTAACGGGTAAGAAGATTAAAGTTAACATGCAGCTTACCCATGTCCCATTGCACCATTAGCTGGTTTGACTATGAAAGTTTTCTGTCTACGTTTCTTCTTCAGTTCTTTTACATAGTTCTGAAACTGTGTGTATTCTGCAGGGAAGATCCATGTTCGAGGAATAAAACTATACTCCTGAGGCTGACTCTTGATCATTCTGCAAAAAAGTGTAACTGAGTTAAAAATCTTTTAACTACTTTCATGTATCAGTCCTCAGGATTAAAAAGCATTTACAATAACTTTACAAGGAAACTTTTTTAGCAGAATGCTATAATATACTAGCAAACTTCTGCAGTTGTTTGAGAACAGTTAGAGCTCTATAACTTATTCATACGCATTCTTTAAGAACAACAAAAGCAGACTACCTTGTGCATTTTTGCTTATTATCATATCGTATTTGCTTATTATGTTACTGGCATCCATCTCGTTTCTTGGCATCCATCTCACTCCTGTTATAGTTTTTGTTCAGTTATTCAGATGATTTAATGCTATTCCTATTCTTAGAAATATCAAACTTACAATAGACCATGTGATTATAGATTTTTTCCTACCTAATAGACTCCTGAATTCCTCTTTTTATTTTTTTTTTTTTCCTTGAGAGGGGTGGGGATATTGGGAAAGTTTCATATTGCTGTGTATTTGGGGATGCGTGAGGATCAACACACACAAAAAAAGAGGACCTGGGATATTTGGAATTTCGTCATGGGTGCAAAAAATGTTAATAACAAGGACTGAACTTAAAATGGAAGCAATTTAAGAAAAGTTTTTAGTTTCTTTCTAGTCTTTTGAAGGAATTGCAAAATTAAGTCAAATATACTTTGACACAGGCCAAGCAACTGCTCACACACCTCCAATATAGGGCAAACCACAGAAGCTTGGATTTGTGTTTGGTACCAGCATATTGTGACTGAGGTTCCCTGAGCACCTTATTTAGTCAAAAGAAAGCAAAGAAACGCAAAGCAAGACGAGGGCGGGGAGGGAAGGAATAGAAGAACTAAAACAAAAATAAGGTTAATAAATCATAGGGAACAATCTCTGAAACTGAATCTGGTTAAAGGATGCAGCAAGGTCCCGATCTCCCCGCTTTAATAGCTGTGGCAGCTGAGGTAGTGAGCATAGCTCATTTTATAGCTCTATTGCCTGCATTCCGACAAGGCAAACAGAAGAGGAAAAATGGTAGAGAATCCAGTTAGCAGCAGCTTCCATCACCCAAAGCTGTGTATCTGTCAGATAGGAAGCATGTACCCACACCAGACTGGCAGTATGGGCTAGATATATATGGGTTAGCTTTAAACAAACTAGCTTTAATACCAGTTAACAGCCACGTTATAAGAACAACATGGACTTGGTGATACTATGCACGCCAGCAACCATAGTTCCTAGCAGAATAAATTTAGTCTTTGCTGAGTTAAATACTGGTACAGCTAGCTTGTTTCAGGTACTCAGAATACCTGAAACTTCATACATAACCTCATAGGAAATTAGTTCCGGTAACTCAAAACTACTCTGTAACATAGGGTGGATGGATCTGAAATACAAATCTCCACAGACCAACAGAAAGTGACCGGTTGTTTAAAAAGAAATTAACCGACATGGGAAGTTCCCCAACTTTGTTTAAAAAAACCAAAAAAACCAAAACAAAAAAACCCCCCACCAAACAAACAGCACTATGATGAATTTTAATACTTTTTAATTAATAACAGATTTAGGTATACTTCTACTTTTGTCATGGAAAATAATATTATCAGGATAACCTAATTGTAAAAGAGATTTACAAAATCATTTCAATTTTTCATTTCTACTACGAGCCTACATAATACTCCCGATGCAGCATAAGACACTTTTTCTTTAAGTGGCTCAAATACTAATGGAAAAAACAGCGCTGCCAACCAATTTGTAAGGCTAGGACTGTAGCCAAGCCCTACTGGTATAATAGAGACACTGTCACCAAACCGCTTAGCCAACTACCCAGCAAACACTCTGCAGAAACCACAATAGCTATAGTAGTCATGAAGCACCACACGAGGTTCAGTGCTTCTCCGGCTTCATTGTAACTATTATTTTTACAACTCTGGTTTGATGAAAGCCAACAAATATTCATCAAAAAAGTTTTTAAAAACATAAATAGATATTATGATCCTATGATTGATGTATATTTTTATACTCTCCACCTGCTATATATTTATAAATGTTACTACCTTGCTAACCAAATAGCTTATCTAGGCAGAAATTATCCCATTTGTAGGCAAAAAGCAATTTCTGTGTTAGTCTCCATCCCTCTCCAAATTATCTATCATATACATCCTGAAGCATTACACAATAGAGACTTGCCATTTAACTTACTCACAGGTTTCAACATACATACTCCCCACTCAATGAATACAGCTTCATGGTATTCTAGATATATCACTACTATTTTGTGACTGCAAGTACATCAGTTCTGTATGCCTTTTTCTGTCCTATGCATAACTGGGTAGACTACAAACACTCAATAATATGAAGCGGAATACTTAACCATTGTTTACAGATTCTGGTGCTCACTAAAACTTTCAACAAAAGAATTCAGCTCTGTTCCTTCCCTGCTTGGCCCTATTCAGAAATGGCTTAGGAACATCAAGTAGCTTGTGGAATCAAGACCTATTCCACCACAATAGCCCTATTTTCCAGCACATCTGCTATCCACTACTGTGGGCAACCACTTCTTCACTGTGCTGCTCTATCTTTTAGCCTTTGCATTCCTTAGCAGGAAGTCTGAGAATTAAACAGCAAGTTACTGTTCTTCTGAGTGCAATTTTAGCTCACGGATGTGGTCAGACTGTGCTCTTGTTTCTCAGAGTGCTTTCTGTGCAAAAGAATCAAAGGTGTTGAACAAAATGTAGGTTACCAAAGATATGACTTGTCAGTCTAATAATGCAGGTTCCACTGCCTAGGTTTCAAGATCCTCTGACTTTTCAAGCATGAAAGGAGGTTAGTGGGTAGGTATGGATGAGAACGGTTCTTGGTCCATTATCAGTTCACAAATCTTTTAAATGTAAACAACAAAGGTGTTGCAGAAAAGACCATCTCATACGTGGGTCTGCTCCCCTTCCCATTCATCCTGTACACGTCCTCCCCCACTTACTGTAATTCTGTGGTTAATTCTGTAACCACGCTTATCCTTCACATGATATCTCATCTAAGAGACCATTCACAGCAATTAAGATCTCATTGGCCCTACAATGGCACTTCTATTTTTATTTCTCTTTTCTGTGTTCTGATTATTCCCCTTTAAAACAATGTTCATGCCTCCTTTTGTTCTGCCTCTATCTGTTCCATTACTCTGTGTCCCTACACTTGTTACATGTTACACCACTCCCTTCCACCCCACCTCCATGTGAAAACCACATTGCCCTGTGATCCAGATTGCCTGGATATTGGCTGTAAGAGGAATTCCTGAAGTGCAATTCCTCCTGGATACCAGAGCCCAGTAGTTTTGTTTTTTCACTCTATTCCCAACAGCTTACATAAAATGGAAGGGTGAGATCAATATAACAACAAAGGTAGATATAAAATAAAAAGAAGAGATCAAGAGCAGCCCTGCCGAGAGGGACTTGGGGGTACTGATGGATG